CATTTTGACGACTTCATCTATACTTTTTCTGATTTCTGCAGTGAACCGTATAAATTCAAATTGAGCTTTACAGAATATCAACTTACAGTTTAGTATCTTAACGTTTTACATTTTTCATTAAGTAAAATGCTCTTTCTCTCGAGAGAAATGTCTTCTCCCTCTTCGACCCCTCTGGGAGAAGGAGCATGTTACATCTTTAAGATAGTGCCATAAAGGTTGATGAAAATATGAATCATATTCTTTAGTAATTATCCATTAGCTCTTTATATGCATGGGAGACTTCCATTTATCACAAGAATTGCTGTAATTGGGGGCTTTTTTGTGTTCTAATTTCCAAAATATTAATTTGGGAGTCCTTTTTCTTTTCTGTGGTAAAAGTATCTGAATTAGGAAGGACATCATGGCTCTTACTTTGTGAGGCTAATATACATGTTCTGTTTATTATAGGCAATATTTATATTAGTGACTTTGTCACTTGTGAGATATATTTAATGGTCTCTATGAAAGTAATTTCTTTAAAAGTATATTAGCATATTTTAACTGAGTTAAAAAAAGGTTTTTTTCAAGGAATTATTGAAACATTCATTTTTACATATTTAAAAGTTTCTAGCTGAAAACATGTACCCATTGTACAGGGGAATACCATTAAATAACAAATAGTTCTAAATGGTTAACAATATGGAGGAAAAGGGTGATCATTAAAATGCTGTTATTAAAATATTATGTTAATACATGAATACATTGTCAGTAAGGGTGGTGGTTGAATCTATGCAGATACATTAACATTACTCTGAGTATTTGATATACTTGTGATTCATGGAGTAGATTTTATTTATTTATTTTTTAAGATGCTGGGAACTAAAAATGTTGGCAAAGAGCCGTTCTAATTGCTAGCTTGAGAATGGTTGTGTCAGAAATGGGGAGAGTTAATTGCCGAGTGGATGCTCTCAGTTAGGACTTTCTCACCCTATTCCAAGCACAGGTTGGCATCTCTTCTTACATTTGTACAAGCAAAAAAAAAAAACTTATTCAGAAGTTAGAATATAACTGACAGAAGCTTGTCTCTAAAACTATAAAAATCTGTAATTTACTTTCAACTAACTCATTTGTGTTGCTGCTAATGAGAAAACCTGAGATTCTTCGTTGAATATTTGTTCAAGCTTGTTCAATTATAGTATTTACAGATTCTCAGCTATTTTATACTGATTTATTGATGATTCAGGATTTTTTACTTCACGAAGAGGCTAAAGAGAGGTCTCATTTGTTAAAAGATAAAATGTTTAAAAAAAAGAATAATGTTTTTGTGATAGAGTGGAAGTGTTCACAATCAAATCTTCATAGATATTCATTGGCTTATAGTAACTAATAACTACTAAATAAATGCTAAATAACTAATATCTACTAATCTGCTTAATATGAACCAGGCCACATGCTATATTTCTTTTGTATTATTTTACATAATGTTAACAAAATCGAAAAGGTATTTATTGGCAGCTGCATTTTACAGGTGAGAAAATCAAGCTGAAGACTAGAGCAGTTGTATAACTATCCAGAGTCACACAGCTAGGAAGTATCTGAGCTACAATTAGTGCTACTTGCTTTTCAGAAAAATAAAGAAACATGAAATTCTCAGGCCATTCATTTAAATTATCGTCAGTATTATAGACAGCAGATAGTTTTTCTTAGCTGCAGGGAGTTAGGGATTTTGTCACAGCACAAGTAAAGATAGAGATGTCTGAAGTCTTAACAGTGAGACCATCCTGGCTACATTTTGTCAGGGATGTGTCCGAGAACAGTAACAGTTAAGGTTGGGTGGAAAAAGCGCCATATGCTTCTCGTACTCTTCCACCAGACCACCCCTAAGACATAGAAGCGTGAACTCATATTTTTGGACTAAAGGGGACATGTTAAATCATAATTCTTTCCATTGCAAGTGACAGAAATCCACTCAAATTAGCATGGGTGGAAGGGGGAGGAATTTATTGACTCCCTTAATTGGGAATATAAGGGCACAGCTAGCTTTAGGCACAGCTGGATCCAGTATCTCAAACTGGCTTTCTCTCTCTCTCAACATCCCCAGGACAGGCTCTAACTAAAAGAGTTCCCCAGAAGTACTTATAGGCACCCCAGTTTGAGGGGCACAACAGAGACACTGAGAACCCGTCATGGGGGATTGAGAAGATAAACCAAATGAGGAAGAAGCTGAAGCAGAAAGAACAATTCAGAGACCTACCGTAATCACCTTTTTGGTAGTAGCAGTAGGATTCAAGGAAAAAAGATAAAGATTTCATCTTGCCAGAGACCTCCCATCTTCTACTGTATCTGTACATTTGTCTTGCCTTCTCTTGTTTGGATCCTAAAAGGAGCTAGAGACCATCGGAATTTTTAAAAACAACATAGGCTTGTAAAGATGAGTTTCTCCACTGTGTTTTCAGCTCTTTTCATTATCTTTTGGTTTATAGATCATTGGATAAACAATAAAGTGGTTGCTGTGGGATCAGCCTTTTTAGGTGATGGGAGAAATATGACAAAAAGATAAGATTTCTCCATCCCATCCTTCCGGGGGATTCTGAGTTTAGGGAAGAAAATACAGATTTTCCTCTGAATAATTTTCCTTTTGATTGAGCTTCCGCTTATTAAAGTTGACGTGATAAGAACTATTGAAGAGATTTAAGTGAACGTTCTTGGTTGAAAGTATCTTAATTCACATATTCAACAAATATTTACTAAGCACCTACTAAGTGCAAGGCACTGTTCTAGAGATTTGAGGAGCCCAACAGTGAACAAAGTAGACCAAAACTACTTCCCCATGGAAGCTTGGAATCTGTCAGGGAGAGGCAGACAGTGAACATATTAAGTAAATCATATGGACTGTTAGAGGCAGGATGGACTTTGGAGAAAGACGTAGACTAGGGGTTGCTCATGGCAGGGTGTGGGGCTTGGAATTTATATAGGGTGGTCAAGGTGGGCCCCATTGAGAAGGTAACCTTTGAGCAAGAATGAGAAGGATATATGGGAATTAGCTAAGTGGGCATCTGGGGTAAAGCTTTCTAGGGAGAGGGAGATGGGGACTTAGGTTCAGCTGTCATTGTTTGAGTGTTGCTGCTGATAAATAGATGACGTAGCCTGATAGAGTCTCAGGGTGCCCAGAGGCATTTCACCTCCTAAGTCTCTTTTCTTTCACCATTTTAATTGTTAAAAAACCTGGAAGAATCTTCTAGTCAATAGAGTAGTACTTTTTTTTTTTATATTTTATGTTATGTTATTTATTTTTTATCTTAGTTTAGTCGTGCCGCACGGCATGAGGGATCTTAAGTTCCCCAACCAGGGATCCAACCCGCGCCCCTCTGTAGAGGAAGCGCGGAGTCTTAACCACTGGACTGCCAGGGAAATCCCAAGTAGTATGTACTTTAATTCTTTTGGGAATGGAGCCTGGGTTGCAGCCATTAGAGGAACAAAATAACACCTGTGCTTCTCCTTTTCGGTCTCTTCCCCGCTCAATTCTGATTTTGGTATTATGGCTTAAGTCATCAGAGATTTTATTTTTTTAAGCTAACTAATAATCCCTAGCAAAAAATGAGGAATTTTGAATATCAGAGATAATGTAATACCAGTACCTCTGATATATCTTTTTTTTTTTTTTTTTTTGTCGTACGCGGGCCTCTCACTGTTGTGGCCCCTCCCCTTGCGGAGCACAGGCTCCGGACGCGCAGGCCTGGCGGCCATGGCTCATGGGCCCAGCCACTCCGCGGCACGCGGGATCCTCCCAGACCAGGGCACGAACCCGCGCGCCCTGCATTGGCAGGCGGACTCTCAACCACTGCGCCACCAGGGAAGCCCCCTCTGATATATCTTTAAAGTCAGAAAACTGAGAGTCCTGATTTAGTTAATAATGATTATTACTCAGATTTTTTTTTTTTTTCGTTACGTGGGCCTCTCACTGTTGTGGCCTCTCCCGTTGCGGAGCACAGGCTCCGGATGCGCAGGCTCAGCGACCATGGCTCACGGGCCCAGCCGCTCTGCGGCATGTGGGATCTTCCCGGACTGCCGCATGAACCCATGTCCCCTGCATCGGCAGGCGGACTCTCAACCACTGCGCCACCAGGGAAGCCCCTATTACTCAGATTTTGACATAATGTCACACCACCTATTAAGTACCCGTTATGTGCAAAGCTCAGGTACAAATCATAAATCCTATTCTTTTCCTTCTGTAATACCAATTCGTAAATGCTCATTTTGGCCAAGTTAAAGTAGAACGTTACCTGTCCGTTTTCTCAGGGTTATTTAAGCGTCTGGATGCTACATTCCCAACACTCTGCTCATCGTGTGCTGTCCCTTCCATATGTCTTACCTCATGTCTGCTTCAGTCCTGCTCCATCACTCACCTTGTCTGAGGCCCTGGGGCACTTCCATGTGCTTCACTCCTGCTCTGTCACTCACCTTGGGGTACCCAAGACATATTAGTTAGCTTTCGTGAGCCTCAGTTTCTCCTGTAACATGGGTTGTGGTTGGGGTTAAATTGATGGTTGCCTGAAGGCTTAGCACTTAGCGTCCGGGGCAAGGCTGCTTCAGAGGTCCAGGCCAAATAAGATCGTGTTTGGATTAAGGGATTTACAGTGGAGATTAAAAGGAGAGGACTTAAGTAATAAAGAGAGAAAGTTACATCTTTGAGATTAATGATGGATTGAATGTGGGGGTTGATGGAGAAGGAAATGTCAGTACAGTTTAGAAGATGTGAATTAATATTGTGACTGAGGTTTAATCACAAGGCTTCAAAGGAAATTAGAATGAACAATCTCAGTCCATCCCTCTGCAGGACTGCATTTATTTTAATTTACTGAAATTGGCTGAAATTTACAGAGGAGTAGATTCTGTGCTATCTGCTTCAGTAACACTTCTGTATATATTTTATCTGAAGGTATCTGTTCGAAATTTTAATTTGAGAAGGTAACTTAATGAAATTTTGTGCTTAAATGTTTTATTTGAATTTTAATTGGTAGAATCTGAAGAAGATTCAAGAAATGGAGAAGAGTAACGAATCTAACACAGACCTGGAGGAGCTGAAAAACGCTGACTGGGTGAGATAGCTGGGTATTCTCTGTTTAGTGTTGAAGAAGTCGTATCATGTTTTGTAAAATGATCTATCTTAAGGACTATTATGAAATGATATTATACCAATTTGAAAGCCTAACCTTACATTTGAGGAAATAGCTATTCCATTTTTTAAAAACTATCTAATTTTATTAGAACCACCCCAATGTCTCTGAGAATTTCAGTGTTTAAAATATTGACCTTTCTAATTACATTAATACCTTAGCATCCTCTTATGGGGAAGTCAAAGTTTAAGCTCTGTTTCAGGATATAGTGAAACTATAGTGTAGTACATTCATTTATCCAATGAATAGTTACTGGATTAGGGCCCTGGGGATGCAGAATGAGTGATACGTTACAATGTTCTGCCCTGGTGAAACAGAAGACAGATTTCTAGAACAGATGATTGCAGTGTATTCATGTGACTCACTGTCTACTGTTTTTCCAACATGGTACTAGATCCATGTAGGAAGGCACATTTTAGGATTCTGACTTTTCATGTTAAGGATACTGGATAAAATAATGACATTAAATGACGGAATCGGAAAAGATACAGATTTGGAGGATATGAACAAGTCGCCTTTGACCATGTTAGATTTCAATTGTCATATTCTTTTCTGACAGCTTTATTAAGGTGTAATCTACATACAACAAGCTGCACATGTTTAAAAAGTACAGTTTGATAAGTTTGACATATACGCATACACATTCACACCTGTGAAACAAACCATCACCATAAGAAAACAGTGAGCCTGTCCATCACCCCACATCTCCTCGTATTGCTTTGTAACCCTACTTCCTGCCTCCCTTCTCCCTAGTTTCCAGGCAACCAGTGATCTGCTTTCTGTCACTATAGGTTGCATTTTGTACACTTTTATGTAAATACAATCACATAGTATATACAGGGGTTTTTTTGGCTTCTTTTATTCAGCATAATTCTTTGGAGATTTCATCCATGTTGTTGCCTGTATCATAGTTTATACTTTTTATTGCTGAGAGGTACTCCATTGTATGTAAGTACCACAATTTGTTTATCCATTCTTCTGTTGATGGTCATTTGGGTGTTTCCTGTTAGCAATATTCTTAATTTATGGACGATATCTTTCCTGAGATATTTGGAATGATATTAATCAGGAATATTTAAGAGTAAAGTTTAAAAACAAGTAGCCTATATTGTCTTATAAGCTAGTATTGTCACTTTAGAATAATGATGATCAGTTTCCTTTGCATAGTGTTGCTCTAGGTGTATGTCATCTTGGTTAATAAATTTTTCTTTTAATTTATTTTTGACTGCGTTGGGTCTTCGTTGCTGCACGCGGGCTTTCTCTAGTTGCAGCGAGTGGGGCCTACTCTTCATTGCGGTGCATGGGCCTCTCATTGCAGTGGCTTCTCTTGTTGCGGAGCATGGGCTCTAGGCATGCAGGCTTCAGTAGTTGTGACATGCCGGCTTCAGTAGTTGTGATTCACGGGCTCTAGAGTGCAGGCTCAGTAGTTGTGGCACATGGGCTTAGTTGCTCCACGGCATGTGGGATCTTTCTGGACCAGAGCTCGAACCTGTGTCCCCTGCATTGGCAGGCGGATCCTTAACCACTGAGCCACCAGGGAAGCCCGGTTAATAAATTTTTAAATTTGTTTTCCAAGACATTGAAGCCAGGTAAATAACTCCAGGTGCTCAGAAGTTAGCAAATAGCTAGTATAAAGTTGAACCAAAAATTTAATTAACTGTCTTAAGGCAACCTCATCTAAAACAGTATGATCACTGACAAGAGACATACTATCTCCAAAGGGAGTTACATTTGCCTAGATCACCAGCTTCTTTTTCATAAGATCATGAAAGTGAACTACCTAGAAAGATTAGAATGAAATGAGGAAGGAATGAGGAATAGTATGAAGGAGAATTAGAATATGTTTAATGGCAGAATCTATACATCTCAGAATCTTTCTAGTGTAATAAGGGGTAAATGATAAAATCTCTGGGAATACATACAGTGACAGTTGTCCATTATTTTATATAACTGGAACTTAGTTTCTGAAAAGTCATTTGTAAAATTTTTGCCAACAATAATATATAATGAACTGGCTATATAAAAGAGTCTGTTTGAATTTTTCTATAAATTATAGCAAAAGATTCTAATGTGGGTAATCATCACTAATTTATCTGTTTTGAGAATTCAAAGTTTCATATGTCAGGTTTTCTTAAAGCCAGAGGAGGTGAAGAGAAGAGACAGTATTTTAAAAATGAGATGGTATTTGAATTGGATCTTCAAGGAATGAGCAAGAGAAGTTGAGACGAGCATTCCCAAAGGAGAGATCTAAATATTTTAGGGATTTATATTAGGATAATTTAATGGCAGAATCTAAGAACTTGTCTTAAATATTAATATTTTAGAAGATGTTCTGATGGCTATACCACAGTATTAAGTACCTCAAATCCTTTTGGGAATAAGAAATGGTATACAGTTTTTAAAAATCACAAATCATTTTTTGAGGACATTTTTGAGAAGTTTAATCAGTTATGTAGGCATTTCTTATGAAATATGTCACTTGATTTTTAATAAATATATTATGTAGCTATTGAGCCACTTATTAATGTTTAACAACCTATAATATTTCAGTTAAATATCATATTGATTTTCTCTTTACTGAAGCCGAGAATATGATAGCTTATAGGCAGGAAAACAAAAAGGTTAAAGTATAATAATATTAACACATTTAATATATTTTAAATTATAATAAATATTTTACATATATTTCATTTTCTTGAAGGGCAGGCAGAGCAACTTGCTATTATTTGTAGATAAGAAAATTGATATTAAATAATTTGTGCAGAGATAGTAATAACATAAAAATTGTCATTTTTGAGCATTTTCTATGTGCAGAACACTGTACATCAGCTCTGATCATCTTAACAAGTTATAAAGTGCCATTTTCTTTTATTGATGAGGAAGCCAGGGTTCAGAAAGGGGAAGCAACTTGCTGGATGTCAAATAGCAGTAGATGGCTGTATCAGTTAGCTGTGGTCACAGTAATGCTGCGTAACTGAACACTACAAAATACCACGGCATAAAGTGGTAGCATTTACTCAGCTCATGAGTCTGCAGATCAGAGTGGTGGCTCTACTCTGTGCATCATCCTTCTCCTGGATAATCCTGCCAGTGTGCTTCGTGCCAACCCAAGCATGATGTTCTCATGGCAGTAACAGGAGCAGAGTGACAAGCCATTGTGCATTTGTTGTTGAAGCCTTTGGTCATGTCATATCCACTAAAATTCCAGTGGCCAAGGAAGTAATAGAGCCAAACCCAAAGTCTAGTGTAAGAAACACACACCTCTTCAGTGAGCAAAGCCACCTGATAGGTGGAACATGAGGGCCTGAGGAACTGAGGCCATGGATGCAGGTAGCACAGGGGGTGAATTAGGGTTTTATCCAGGTGTCCCCACAGTTAGAGCTGGTGGATTCTCTGCTGGCATCCTACCTGCTTTTTAGTACCCTAAAATCTAATTTTTAAAATCGTTTCTCTTTGGTTTGCTTGGTTGTTTGTAATCCAAGCTCTTAATATTTTCTTTACGACTATAGCTCTTTAGAGGAAACTAGTAAATTTATTTATGGATTTCTCTCCACCCTTGGCTCTTTCAGGCTCGATTCTGGGTGCAGGTGATGAGGGATTTGCGGAATGGAGTAAAACTCAAGAAGGTCCAAGAGCGGCAGTACAACCCTCTGCCCATTGAATATCAGCTCACCCCTTATGAGATGCTAATGGATGACATTCGATCCAAAAGATACACTTTGCGAAAAGTGATGGTAAGTAACAAAGAAAACTGTTAATGGACTCAAATGGTTGTTTTTTGGTAATCTTATTTGTTGAAAATGTTCTTCTCAATATGGAAAAGTTGGAAAATACAGTAAACTCACAGAAAAGTTACAAATGTGTAATTCCACAACCCATGGCTTTAAATTTCTGTCTACTGTCCTTTTCTTTAAGCCTGAACAACTCCCTTTAGGGCAGGGTTACTAGTGATGAACCCCCTTAGTGTTTGTTTGCCTGGGAATGTCTTAATTTCTTCTTCTTCTTCCTTTTTTTTTTTTTTGCGGTACACGGGCCTCTCACTGTTGTGGCCTCTCCCGTTGCGGAGCACAGGCTCCAGACGCGCAGGCTCAGTGGCCATGGCTCACGGGCCTAGCTGCTCTGCGGCATGTGGGATCTTCCCGGACCGGGGCATGAACCCGTGTCCCCTGCATTGGCAGGCAGACTCTCAACCACTGCGCCACCAGGGAAGCCCTCTTCTTCATTTTTGAAGCAGAGTTTTTCTGGGTACAGAATTATTGGTTGACAGTGTTTTTTTCTGTCTTTAAACTTAGCTCACTGCCTTTTGGCCTTTATGCTTTCTAGTGAGAGATCACCTGTTCATCTAATTGAGGATCCCTTGTATGTGATAGTCACTCCTTGCTGCTTTCAATATTTTTCTCTCAGTGACTTGACTATAATGTGTTCTGTTGTGGCTCTCTTGGAGTTTATTGCTTAGAGTTTATAGAGCTTCTTGGATGAGTAGATTTGTATTGTTACCAAATTTTGGAAGTTTTTAGCCATTAGTTCTTCACATTTTCTTTGTCCTTTCTTGTCTTTCCAGTCCCCCTGGGACTCCTGTTATGTGCATGTTTATACAGTTTGGAGGTTGTGAGTAGTAAGTAAAGAAGAACATGTTACTACTCTGTGGTACCCATTATTGTTTTCCTTTTTTCTGTCTTTCTTTGTCTGGCTAATTCCATGCAGTTCACTTGGATACGTTTATACTGAGCCTCTGTGCAGGGGACTAGGCAGATGGCAGTTCTAGTGGTGATTGGTTTTGTGTGGGGGAAGTTTTCAAGTTTTAGTCTAACAGGCTAAGATTTTGATTAGTTCCTTGTTATGTATATATGTACCTGATAAAATGAGAGTGGAAATTCAGCTGCTCAAATTTCTTTTTTTGGCGGTACGCAGGCCTCTCACTACTGTGGCCGCACAGGCCCAGCAGCCATGGCTCACAGGCCCAGCCGCTCCATGGCATGTGGGATCTTCCCGGAACGGGGCACGAACCCGTGTCCCCTGCATCGGCAGGCGGACGCTCAACCACTGTGCCACCAGGGAAGCCCCAGCTACTCATATTTCATCATTCAAACACTGGATATATTTTTTAAAAAATTTTTACTTTTATCAATATAATGCCACTTTCTAATTTCTTTAAAAAAATTTTGTTGTAAAGAGTAAACACAATGGATTTTCACACATAGTCTATCTGTATCTGAAGCGGTATGCCAAGATGTTCTTAATTTAATCCTCAGGTTTAAACTACATAACTATACCATAGTAATCCACTTTTTTTTGAATATTTGTGATGCTCATGATGGGAATTGAATGGCTTAGCCATATGGGATTATATTTAGAACATTAAGTTATAGAAGTACAAAACATTTCAATGGAATTTTTTCAAAATGTTTTGGTAAAATGCTTTAATTCTAACAGAGAACTTCAGATAACTCACCTTTAAAAATAAAGATGTAGATCGTCGGCCGCCGTCAGCCGGCTGCCAGCAGTCGAGGAGCGGAAGCCGCTTTCCTGAAGCGGGCTTGGGTGCTCCAGAGCCTGGCCGGCTGCTCCAGAGCCCGGCCGGCTGTTGAACTGCCTCTTCCAGCAGCTGTGGCAACGGCTAGGCGCGGGGCGTGGGCGACCCAAGGACCGCGTAACTGGGCAGGCGCCCCGAACAGGCAACCCCACCGAGGGAGGTGGCCATGGCGGTTGCGCTCGGGCGCCCTGCGCCATGCCCGTGTGGTGCTGTCGCTGCTCCCTGGCTGGTCATTTCAGAAATTGATGAGCAGATCCTAAAAGTCACATGGAATTACAAGGAACCCAGAATAGCCAAGACAATCTTGAAGAAAGAACAAAGTTGGAGGATTCACACTTCCTAATTTTACAACTTACTACAAAGAAACTGTAATCAAGACAGTGTGGTGTTGGCATAAAGATAAACATAGATCAGTGGAATAGAATTGAGAGTCCAGAAATAATTGCCTTCATTTGTTGTCAGTTGATTTCTGTGGGATCCCAAGACAAAAGGGAAATATCAGTCTTTTCAACAAATGATGCCAGGACAGATGGATATTCACAAGCAGAAGAATGAAGTTGGACTGCTACCTTATACTATATATAAAAGTTAACTCAAAATGGATGAAAGACCTAAATTTAAGAACTAGAACTATAAAACTCATAGAAGAAAACAGGTTTGTGATCTTAGATTAGGCAGTGCTTTCTTAGATAACGACACCAAAAGTACAGCAACAAAAGAAAAAAGTAAATTGGACTTGATCGAAAATTAAAACTTTTGTGATTTAAAAGACAATATAAAGGAAGTGAAGACAGCCCACAAAATGGGAGAAAATATTTACAAATCATATATCCAAAAAGGGACTTGTATCCAGGACATATAAAGAATATTTTAAACTCAACAGTAAAAAAGACAACCCAGGTGGAAAGTGGGCAAATAATTTGAATTATTCTCTGAAGAAGATATGGCCAATAAGCACATGAAAAGATGCTTAACATTATTAGTCATTAGGGAAATGCTAATCAAAACTGCAGTGAGATGCTACTTTACACCTACTAGAGTGGCTAAAATAAAAAACACAAGAAGTAACATGCTGGTGAGGATGTGGAGACATTGGAACCCTCATATCACTGATGGAAATGTAAGATGGTGCACACTTGGGGAAATAGTTTGCTAATTCTTCAAGGTGTTAAACATAGAGTTTACGGCCCAGCCATTACATGCACTCCTAAGAGAAATGAAAACATTTGTCCACACAAAAATTTATGTATGAATGTTCATAGCATATTTATAATAGCCAAAAAGTGGAAACCATCCAAATGTTTATCAGCTCATGAGTGGGTAATATACAATGGAATATTACTCAGGCATAAAAAGGAATGGAGTACCAATACATCCTACCACCTGCGTGAACCTTGAAAACATGCTAAGTGGAAGAAGCCAGACACAAAAGGCTACATAATGTATGAGGGGTTCCATTTATTTGAAATTTCCAGAGTAGGCACATCAGTAAGACAGTAGATTAGTGGCTGCCGATGGCTGTGGGGAGGGAAGAATGAGGAATGAGTGCTAATGGGTGCAGCATATACTTTTGGGGTGATAAAATTTCTCTGAAGTTATTGGTAGTGATTGCAAAACCTTGTGACTGCTTAGAACCCTGAATTGTACACTTTAAAAGGGTGAATTTTGGACTTCTCTGGCAGTCCAGTGATTAAGACTCTGTGCTTCCACTACAGGGGGTGTGGGTTCAATCCCTGTCAGGAAACTAAGATCCCACATGCCGAGTGGTGCCGCCAAAAAAAAAAAAAAAAGGGGTGAATTTTATATGTGAATTATATCTCATTAAAGGTTTCTTTTTTTTAAAGCATTACCAAGTTCCCTCTATTTATTTACCTTGGTCTAAAGCCTGATCAGATGATCTGTTGTTTTTCTGATGTTTTTGAGCTCTTGAAAACTTTGTCTTTCTTTGATTAATAGAAGCCTAACAGAGGAGGCATTTTATTTCTAATTGTCTTAACGTCTTTTTTCTTAAGTATAAACCAATTATTTGAGAAGACTAGTCCAGTGTAATGAAAGATCCTTGTAAAATGTATAGTCAGAGAGTTGGTGGTGGTGGGATGAATTGGGAGATTGGGATTGACATATATGATTGGGAGATTGGGATTGACTAAGATATATAAAATAGATAACTAATAAGAACCTGCTGTACAAAAATAAATAAAATTCAAAACAAAAATAAAGATGTAGAAACAAACATTTTTTATATAGAAGTTATTTGTTTAAGGCATTGTGGCTCAAAAGTAAGATCAAGTTGTATAACTGGTCTCATTTACTTATGGGCCTACTATTTGTGTTCATCTAGAAATCATTTATTGTTGCAGCTTCAGAGAACTTGTTTCAGGGTGTGTTCTGTATTTATATTAAAAAAAAAGTAATTTCACTGACCCAGCAGCAGAATGGAATTTGCTGTTACTTTTCCTCCTGCTAGTAAGGACTTTGACTGACTGACTCACATCAATACTGGCATACAGCTTCCTCATGAGCACTGACACACATTTTGTAATTGGGATCCAGGATCCAGTTTCTGACTAGTGAGGAAACTGATGTTAACGTGCTTGTTTGGGGAATGGAACTCACAGCCTTGGCCTTATTATTATCTCACTCAACCCTGCTGTTGTGATGGAAAGAACATTAAAATAAAAGTATACGAAAAATAGCTAGAAAGAGGGCTTCCCTGGTGGCTCAGTGGTTAAGAATCTGCCTGCCAGTGCAGGGGACACGGGTTCGAGCCCTGGTCCAGGAAGATCCTACATGCTGCAGAGCAGCTAAGCCTGTGTGCCACAACTACCGAGCCTGTGTGCTAGAGCCCGTGAGCCACAACTACTGAGCCCGCTCTCCACAACTACTCAGCCCACTCTCCACAACTACTCAGCCTGTGCACCTACAGCCCGTGCTCCACAACATGAGAAGCCCGTGCACCACAACGAAGAGTAGCCCCTGCTCACCACAGCTAGAGGAAGCCTGAGCGCAGCAACGAAGACCCAGTGCAGCCAAAAATAAAATTAAAAAATAAATTAATTTTTAAAAATGCCAATTAAAAAAAGTAGCTAGAAAGATATGTGTTATCCTGTTCAGGAGTAGAATAGAAAGGTCTGATTAAGTTGTTCATACAATAAGGATTTTTTAAAAAGTCTTGTGTAACATGAAGTCCATGGGTGAAGAGTGGTGCCACGGTAGGCCCCCAGCTCTGCTGCTTGGGTACACGCCCTCCTTAAACCAAGTACTAGTGGTCACAAGCTTGGCTCAGCTCAGGCAGCTTTCACTCCTAACTCTAACCTTAGGGCTGTCCTGTCCTCACTCAGGACTGGGGGGCGGGGGGCACAGGGAAAAGGGGAGTGGATGATGTCAGCAGGCTTGTCACACACCCCGAGTGGTCGCATTTGTGGGGGGCAGCCACTGGGCCTGGGAGCAGCAGTTCAGGTTCTTTTTTTTTTTTAAATTAACTTCATTTCTCAGGTGACACAAAATAGTGACACTGACAAAAAGATCAAAACTCATACAGCTGCAATAAAAAATTAATAACCAATTGATTAATGATCCTGAGCAATTAAAACAGTAATTAAGATTGGGAAGTACATAACAAAACTGTCCATGCCCTGAAGTCTTCCAATTCAGATAAGAAAATACTTTTAAAAAGTTTGACCAAATTTTACGATAACTCTAAAATTGGGCATGACATTTCAATAACAAATTGTGAAGCTTAAAGAAACCTTTCTAGCCTATCAAAATTAAAAAAATATCAACTATTGGTGCTAGAGGAATAAACAAATGATCTTTTTTCTCTCCAATAAAATTGATAACATAAAATTATTAAAATATGACAAGATAAAGAGTAGGTCACCAAAGTAGAGTGAAAAAGTATTATAGAGGTTTTTTAGGCAGTTCATAATAAAAATAGTATGCTGATTTTCTGGATTTTGAGAAGTTTAAGGTATTCATCAGTTTTTTAAATTTGTAATTTGTTAACATTTCTTTTTTCATCTATCTTTTATGAGAATAATGACAGAAAGTACCTAGCAGTTCTGTTTTTTCATATGAGGTTCAGAAATAAGTATGACTTACGGTCACCACAACTGTGCCTTCTGAGTGGTCAGAATGTGAGTTTAGGTGGGGGGTTTTTGGTGGGTTTTTCTTAAATTTCTTAAAATTTTTGTAACCTGTTTCTTTAAAAAGAGAGGATGTTAGGGCAAGAGTCAGAGTCAGACCAGGCCCCTGCCAGGCTCTTCTGCTCACCAACCCTGTGAAGGGGGCAGACACCACCTCGATCTGAGCCTCAGCTTTGTCTAAGAATGTGAACCATGTCCCCACTCCTTCCCATTACCAAGATTTTGTACAAGGATGAAAATAAGAGGTAAAAGACTTTTTGTTGTTGTTTTGGCTGCGCCACCTGGCACGTGAGATCCCAGCTCCCTGACCAGGGACCGAACCCGCACCCCCTGCAGTGGAAGCACAGAGTCTTAACCACTGGACCACCAGGGAAGTCCCAGAGACACTTGAAATTATACAGTAATTAAGCGTAGTATTATTTTTTCCATTCACATTCATAATTGTAGAAACTTTTTGTTGGAAGGATGCATCTTATATATAATTTCCCCAAATGTGGAACTAAAGTGGACGTGGAGTTTCTTCAATTCTGCATAGTTATTTTTGCTCTGAATCATTCAGCCATTTACTCTCCATTTTTATTGATTTGAAATGCATCCTTGGTGGAGCCAGATTCCACTTCAGTAATTTTGAAGTGACATATGTTGACATACGTACCCAGAAACTTGTAATGATAAACCTGTAGTCACATGAATCTTCTACTTTTTGTCTCCTTTCAGGTGAATGGTGATATTCCCCCTCGGTTAAAAAAAAGTGCTCATGAAATCATCCTGGACTTCATCAGATCAAGACCTCCTTTAAATCCAGTATGTAATTTGACATATTCCCCTTGTTTGGAGAGCACAAGTATTCTCCTCTAGCCTATGACCTCTAGAACTCAGCTCTTAAAGGAGTATTTACACTGAGCTTTCATTCTCAGAATTATGAAGCCCAACTGTAAATTACATTCTTAATTCACAAAAAAAGTACTTAAAATTATTCAATACAGGCTGTCTTAGGATATTTTAACTCAAACAGCCTGAGTTATGGTGCAAAATCTGGCCAAATACCTCCTAGAATAACAGCTGAATATGATTCCAAGTAGTTCCTGGTGTGGGCTGCCCTCCCTGTTTAGTTTATGGTACAAACACTTCACCTTGATTAAATTGTCGTTTTGATACTGTTTTACAGTAAATCCACCCTGCTGTACCTCCTCTTTTGTATTAATTATCTTCGTCTGTTGACGGGGTTCTTTCTAGTGACCATGGAATCAGGGTGTTCTGATGTGGTTTGAATGTTGGTTTGCGTTTCCTCTGTTCTACACTTACTTCCCCCCAGCTCCACAGCCAGTGCTCACCAAGGCCTCTCAAACCCCATGTGTGTTCAGTAACTAGAACAGGAATGGTGTTTCTTTCTCAGTTTGTGAACATCTAAAACATAATTAATGATCCCTCTTATAAATCTTTTTAAAATAAGGGAAAGAGGCCACGTAGGAAATAATTTTAAGAAGGCGGGTCCTGGTGGAGCAGAAAGAGCATGGAGTCATATGGGCCCGGATTTGCACACTAGCTACACAACCTAGTGGCCACATGTCTCTGAGAGAGTTGATCGGCCTCCCTGAGCCTGTATTTCCTCAACTATAGAACGAAGATAATACTCTAAGAAGGTTGTGATGACTTACTCAAAAACATTACTTTCAAAAACAATAATCATAATAGGTAATGTACAGCTTACATTTCAATGGATTGCCTGTCACAGTAGCACGTAGGGAGCATGACTACAGCTGCAGCAAAGCTGACTCCTTAAAGTTACTTGAGCACATGTGACTGAACCACTGTGAAGTCCAGTAATCTCCCTATTGCTTGAAAATGGTCTTTTATCAAGCAGTGTTGCAGTCAGTAAAATATAATTTCATAATGTACTGTATGAGTGGGCTTCAGTAAAAATTATTTAAGGAAAACTACTCAAGCAAGTCTCTATAGCCATTATATTTTTTCTAAGGCCTCAGCCAGAAAACTGAAGCCTACTCCACCGCGGCCACGGAGCCTCCATGAAAGGATCCTGGAAGAAATCAAAGCAGAAAGAAAGCTGCGGCCCGTGTCACCAGAGGAAACCAGACGCGGCAGGTTAGGTGAGTCCGGGGCGTCACTGGAAGACAGCACAGCAGCCCAGTGAGAGACTGTCGTCTGCAGGACACACACACACACAAGGACACACACACACACACACACACACAAGGACACACACACACACACACACACACACACACACACACACACACACACACGCTGGAAGTCTATACTTGAGATTCATGGAATAGGAAATTATTGCCCCGTGATGCTGAGTGTAGGAGAGCACCGCGCTGCATAGTGGACAGAGCTCTGCCAACCTCTAGGCTGTGGTTTTAGGACGGTCTCTTCACCTCTGTGAGCATCGATTTCTTCGTCAGCAGAAGGGGGATAAAAAGTCCTCTACACCTTCATTATGACTTTCATTTAAGAATTAAATAGGATCATGGTCAAAATACTTTATAAATTGTAATACATATACATGGATAAGTTATTACATTTTAGAAATATAAGTGATACATAGTTTTACTTCAGGTTTCTATTGTCTTAATTATGGTTTGAAGATATGGTATTATGTGATAAGAGACTCAATTATTACTGATATCACTTAACTTATTACTCACGTTCCTTTACATTTATTATGTTTAATTTTTTTTTATAAGCACACATTGATTTTCATTTAGAGCAAAACCATATTATAAAATGTAAACATTTTTGTTGATGCAGCTGTCCTCCAATTTGTAAGATTAAAGATGCCCAAAGAATTCAGGGAAACAGTCTCATGGTGCCTGAACAGGACAGGAGCCGGCCCTGTGGCACTCTCTCCTGGTTCTCTCCTCCGACCTCTTCTGCCTCTTTCAAGCCCTGCTTAGTCGTCTGGTTTCTATCCCGGGCTCCCTCTCCCTGAGCAACCATGTCCTCCTCCAGGGTTTGTTTCTGGTTTCCTCAGCTCCCGCCCTACAGCGCAGGTTTCTCTGAAAGTTCAGACCCACACGTGCAGCCGTCTGCTGAGCAGGGCCTCCTTGCCCCTCACGCAGGACAAGCCCCGCAGCCAAGCAGTGACCTCGCCTGGTTTCTCCTCCAACTGTCTCCTCCTGGTTCCCCATCTCAGAGCCCAGGACAGATTGCTCAGCATCACCTCTGACTCTTACCCAACAGCCAAGCTCTGTGGGTTTTACTTCTAGGTCTCTCTAGTCCTCCCCTCTCTGACCCAGGCTCTCCTCTTCTCCGTCTGGTCAGTCACATCCACTTCAGCGGCTCTCCCTGCCTCCCATGACTCTCAAGTCACTGCGTGCTGATGTTCTTTTGTTTGACTTTTGGCCATTCTGTCACACTGTGGCCTCCGTGGCAGCAGGGCCCACGTCTGTCTTGTTGGTTGTTATGTCCTGGTCTCCACTGCAGGGACAGTGATGAAAAGTACTCCCAGAGGTGTTGAAATAATAGCACGTACCTTCCATGTACAGAGCTTCAGAGTGAGGGCAGGCTGTGTGAATTTATCTCTGTCTGATTTTTATGGCAGCAAGTGTTTCCCTTTAAAATGATGTTTAAAACAAATCCATATGAGCATTTACCTAATAATAAGCCAGAACATATACATGACATAAATGGAGAGTTCTTATTCTGGGAGTCCTTGCATGAGCCTAAGGATGGTCTGTGAATCCCTTGAAATATAACAAATTTGTATGTATTTCCTAAAGTGTATGTATGTCCATTTTCTGGAGAGGGGGTTCATAGCTTTGCTCAGATTCCTAAAGGGTCCACAGCCTCAAAGAATAAGAACCACTATGGAAAAATAAGGAAACGGTGTTATAGGACGGCTGCTTAAGACTGGATTTTTTAAAATTACTGTACCTTGAGAAGGAATAATGGGGTAATAGAAAAGATTTCAACAAAATTATAAGGCAAAACAAATATATTACCGTGAGAAAAGTAAGCTTCATGATTTTCAGGAGAAAAGAGGAGGGATTATAAACTCCAGTGGAAGCACCAACAGGACAGAGAAAGGAACAAGACAGATGTAACGTGCTTGTGTGATTTGGATGATATTTGACATACAGTTCCTTCATTTTTCCAAGTGTTCATTAAACAGCCGTGTCAGCTGTTGGAGTAGAGAGATGAGCAGTCAGAGTCCCTGCCCACAGGCACTGACAGAGGAAAGGCTCGGGGCAGCAGGTACATGTTTCCCCTGCAGCGCCGACAGCAGCCCGTCAGGGGCATGGGGGTGGCTGGGGCTGAGCGTTCAGGAGACCAGCAGTCCTTGTGGGTGGCAACGGGACACCGCACGTTGCATAGAAGGGGCATCACATGCCCTTGTCATATACATATTCTTCTGTTTCATTTTCAACAAGTTAGATGCTAACTAGCAGGAAATCTACTTTAGAATAATTAAATATCAATTTTCTGTATAGTGTATCTTATTTTATTTTAACCTTATGAATTGGTGTTTCACAACAACCGGAATTGAGCTGTTATTGAAAGTGGTTGTTCTATGAGAATCTTACTTTTAAAATTGATCTTGCATCTTAATTGGAAAGTAAGAGATTTGGGCTCTTCTTTCTGCAGACCTACATTGGTTCTTACTATAAAGTTTCCCTTGGGGAGTTTGGGTAAAGTTGGCAGAATTATCTTGAAGAAAAGTTTCCTAAATAGTTTTAAAACCTTACCCCTCCATGTAATTGCAAGTAGAAACCCACTGTAGAAATTGGGGAAATGTTTGAAGAACTGTTACCCGTAGTTTCACCAGCAGAGGCATGCGCTGTGATGGAGCTTGTGCGTCATGAGGTGGAGACAAGAGCTGTGTGCACAGTGTCTGATGTCCCCATGTAACGTTGTGTGGGGCAGGAACATCTTCCCAAGTCGTTAAATATGCCCCACAGCATTATTTATAAGGACGTGATTACTAACACATGGCTAAGTTGTCTTTTACTCGCCTATTTCCCTATTGTTTTACAGGCTAGCTCCATTTTTTTCCTGTTAAGTCTGAAATTAGTATTCTTTTGCATCAGTCTTTGTTCATATCTTATCATTTTCTTTTTCCCAACACCTTTTCTAACATCTCATACTATGAGATTTGGGGTTGTAAATGTAAATTATTCCTTTAAAAACATCTGCCAAAAGCATATGGAGAGATACTTTCATTCTGTTAAATTTGGGTGTTAGAACTGTATGTGGGCTGCCTCGGAAACATGAGCTGGGGGGACATTGTGCCTGACAAGCCTGTGGACCTGCGGTTCTCTCCTCTTCCGACCACACAGCCACCTGTCCTCCCTGACCTGGGGCATAGGATGGATGGGGCTACAGTGGAAATAGGTAATTCTCATTCTTATGAATACCCAAATTCATCAAACCTTGGTAATAACCTTTTTAAATCAGCTTTATTGAGATATAATTTACCTGCCATAAAATTCACCCATTTAAAATATACAATTCAGTGTTTCTTAGTATATGTAATAAAATTTTTAAAACAAATGATTTCAACAGGAAAGAAATAAGTTTATTCATAGGAGATTGTATTTATTTAACTTCTACTATGTGCTAAGCACTATTCTGAGCGCCTTTTTTTGTATGGAATCATTTAATTTTTATAACAATCCCATGAAATAGGTGCTATTATTCCCATTTTACAGATGAAGTAACTGAAGCACAGAGAGGTTAAGTAACTTGCCCAGAATCACACTGCTAGTAAGTGGCAGAGCTGAGGTTCAAACTCAGGCTCTCTGGCTCCTGAGGCCTTGCTTCAACTGCCAGGTTACACTGCCTACAATAGAGAATTAGTGATACTTTGTGATGCTGGTAGTACCTGAATGAGATTTTTGATAAGATGTTTCACCTGTATGCAGAGAGCCACATTTTCATCCTGAAATTAATTATTTAAGAATACATTTGTTGTTAAATTTTAAAGATTTTGTATGTTCCATAAAATCATGTTTTAAAACATGGCTAGTTTTTTCTTTTGAACTCTTTTATATTTAAGTATAAAGTCCTGTACTATGATTCTAAAATGTTTGTATCTTTAACATGCTTTCATTTTTAACATGTTCTTTAAAAGTTATTTGTTTTCTTTTATTGTTACTCCATTTCAAGTCTTAGTAATATAATTAAAACTAAGACTCATGGTTTTATTGTATTTCAGATTGTTATTCACTGCCTTCTGCCTTAAAGTGTGAAATGTGCCACCACAGGTCTTGAACCCTCCTCCCTTTTTCATCTTCCCTGTATATCCTAACAGCTGAATTATTTTCTTTTTATTGTTTGTTTTCTTTTTTCAGCAATGCGGCCACTTAGCATGTCTTACAGTTTTGACTTGTCAGGTAAAAAAAAAAAGCACTTTCACACCTGACGTGGGTTTTGTGGTCTCTGTGAAATACATTTCATTCATCTGCTTGTTCAAACACGTCAAAAAAGAAAATTGAAAGGCTTCTTCTAATCTGTGGTCAGTCAAATAAAACATTCTGTTTCTTTGAAAATAGTATACTTAAAAAAAATTAAAACTGTAATAAATCTGTTGCCTTGCAAGAGCCTGTGGAAGAGCCGTGGCACTTGTGGTCATGGAACACAGTGCCCACCCCACCCCCAGTCTCATAAAGCAGCGGTCAGAGTCTAACAGAACTCTGCCTTCAGAGCATAGAAAACACTTTCAAGAAACAAAGTTTTGACACTTCTTACTCTCTAAAGCACTCAGTTATTCAGGTAGCTGAACTCAGAACTGTCAGCTGCTTCAGAGGACGACTGCTCCTCAGTTGAGGGGCAAGAGCTATCTGCGTACCCAGTGCTCCTGTGCGTAGGGCCTTGTCACGCTGGTTCTTTGTGCTGATTAAGAGTCTAAAAACACATGAGCGTTGTAATGGCTTTGGTTGTAAAATATAATCATGTGTCCCAGGTTTGTAGGACACGTTTAGAGCCCTTCTGTTAAATAGACAGGGACTAATAGTGAAACAAGTAGCTATTAATGATTAAATTTGACCTGTAAAATCAGCCCCCCTTTTAAATTGAATTTTTAAATTATATATGAGCAAATTTTCAAAGCCAGCTTAGACCCAATAAAATGTTTTGCACGTTAGAATTTTAGACTTTGGAAGCTGCTGTTTTGAATGCAAAATGAGATAAGATATTGGAACTAGTATTTCCTTCCAGAATTTTCTTTTACATGCCATGGAACTGTTGGCATATCTTACATACAAATTCATATTTAAAGAGCCAGAGAGTTCTAGTATCATGTTCTGTCTGTGAATATTTACTGAGTGTCTTCCAACTGCTAAAATAGTTCCCAACTGCTTTTTGAATTTCTATGTATATTTGTAGTTCTCTTAGGCATGACTAATATTTGCACTTTCAAGAAACTCAGATAAATATGTTATAGTCTTCACTTACTACTTCTGACTGACCACTGAGGAGCTTTTTCTATTTTCTTTATCCATTTGACAATTTTTATTTTATCAACGATTTGCAGAGTAACTTTGTAAAAAGAAAAAGCTTGGTCTGGAAAATAAACTCAGAAACGTTTGAGAACATGTGTGTTACTGCTAATCTCCAAAAGTTGGCAACACATACTAAGATCCATCTCTTCTAAATATCTACTAAAGATGTTCCTCCCTGGCGGGCTCTCTGGGAGTGGCCGCTGCCTAAGCACACTGGCTGCTGTCTCCCGTGAAGTAGGCACAGGTGGCTGACCTGGATGGCGTGCATGCCCACACACATGTATGTAGGTGTGTTCGTGTCTTATAGGTTATATGATGGGTTCTTGTGTTGGGAAGAAAGCTCTTGGTGCTGAGCTTCTCGATGTAAAGGAGCAACAAAAATTTTTGATTTGCTTTCACTGCTTATCATTTGCCATAATTTATTTTGTACCTTAGTGTACTTTGCAATTTCCACACGCTTCATTCTCGATTTCTTGTGTTTTCATTGTGTCATTTTGACTAACCAATTTAAATGTCCCAAATTATAAATGGAAAAGACTGATCTGTTCTTCTAACCTAAATGCAAAGATCGGGATGCATTTCTTGTCTAAGTTGGGAAATTAGCTAACTAAGGAGTAAATATTTAAACGTGTAGTGTAGGTAATGCACATAAGTGTAGAATAGGACACATTGAAGTATGTTCTGCTGCTCAGGTATGTTTTAGAAATATTAATTCTTAGTGGAAAATGTTAATCCAGTCAACATTAATTAAGGTAAGTGTAATTTATTTTTCTGATGCAAATATTAAATATACAATCTTTATTTCAGCCATATTTCCTCCACCTAAATAAGGCAGCAGCCTGGGTGTATCTAACAGACATAATTATTACACTATGTAATAATAGAAGTTATTACATAAGGTATTTAATATCATGGTTGTGTGTTTTAGATTCTGAACCTGAGGCATGTGACTTCTAAAGCTCTGTGTAGCATCTTAAATAGTTTGCTTACTTATAAATATCACCAGAAATTCTGTCTTATATAGAAGAAGTCTAAAGTCTTATCCAAGGGTTTGGTTTTCTCATCAGATACACTGAAGTGATAATGAGGATTCATTCATTTGAACAGAAAAGTATAAGTAATCAAACTACTTAAAAATATCTCTTAAAAGTGTGTTCAACTGGGGCTTTTACAAATATGCAGTATTAGATAAAATCACACACAATATTTAGTCTTACATACGGAGATCATCCTGAAGCCTGACTGGGACATAACATATTCTTCTATTAATTCCATTTATCCGAAAGCTTTGAATTGAGTACTAGGTGTTTATTTCAGTAGTTTGAGTCAGTGAGCTCAAGTACAGTTACCAACCTCAGCAAAGTCTTCAGGCAGTTAGAGAGCTATTGGGTAATTTCTCAGATCCCTTGCATTGAGAATGAAGTTAGCTCATGGCAGCCACTGTCACTTAACAGTGTTCCCTAAACTTCAGTGCAGATCTCACCCTCATGATTTTACCAGACTTAAGTGCCACCAGTACTGTTCAAACTTTTTAAATCTACCATAAATGACTTTTAAAATTTTCTTAAGCAAAAACGTCCATAAAATCATGTATCTGATATAGTAATTATATTTTTTCTGAAACATTAAATATATAACCATTAAAACTGTGTTAATGTTCCTCCACACACCACTGGTGACTTCACCCTTAAGGAAACTCTGGCTTGGACCTGTGAGACCTGCCTGGAGAAGCTCACTGTGTCTCCAGGCAGAGCCTCAGTTGGGTGTGGATAGTTGGACCAGTGGGAGATACGTGTGCTTTTTCTTGGAAGACTGGCTGCCGCTACTGCATGAACCTCTGGAGGAAGTGTGTAAAAAATGTGTGCTATAGAATACGATTTTTCAAAAGATACTTCAAGACCATATTTAAACATTACCTTTTTTCTTGAATAGGAATTAATCAATTAGCCCAATCATTTCCTCCTTTGCTCTCTGGAAGACTTTTAAATTACGCTTGTAAGTGTGGCAGCCTACTGCTTTCTACACCTTATGAAAGGTTTATTTAAAGATTTTAACCTTTGTAATTTTGTAAAAACTTGCTGCTTTTGCCCTTTTGTCCCTTCAGCACACCCCATCCCCCAATCATATATTTGTTCTAGCTACTTAATACCTGGAGAGGTAGTAACAAAATTAACTCATGTGTTGTCAACACATGTGTTGTCAAGTTTTCTGTTAAACATTTTATGTAAAATGATAAATGATTTATGACAAGTCTGTCTTCTTCCTTTTTTCCTTTCCTCATTCCTTTCTTGCTCACTCAAACCCTTGTAGTTCACAAGGGCAGTTCTAGTTCTGGCCTTCTTGATATCTAAAAATATGCAGAAATTGTGAATATTAAGTTAGATATACATCATTTATAATAAATAATTCACATAATTCTTTTAAATAATGTCAAGGAAAGCTGTACTAGAACATACTTACATTCTGAATGTTATCTGGAAATCCACCTCTTCCACTTCAAGCATAAAACTATTACATGTTGGGGGGAGCTACTATAAATAGAACATTCTTGTATTTTATAGTTACTTCAGGTACAACGCTTCCCCCCACCCCCCACAAACAAGCATTAATCCTGATTTTTCAGTGCCCAGCATACCCTTTACCCTCCAACCATGGGAGTTTCACAGACTGCTCCATGGGCAAAAACTGGGTTATGGGCTGGTCTGTGAGTTAAATCATGCAGGGACTGCTTTTTCTCACTTTTAAATACTCTAATTTAGTAGTTATTAAAATCATTAGTTATTGAAATACTGAAGAAAATTAGTTCCACTTGCATTGGAAGATTACAGGCTCCACTACAAAAAAAGGTGGCCTTTTAGAATCAGTACCGACAAGGATTCCAGTGTCAGCTGTGCCGCGCTGGCTGTGTGACTGGCTGAATCACCCTTAGCCTTGGTTCACTCACTTACAAATGGAGATAAAAGTGTTAATAATTGCTAACATTTACTGTGCACTGCCTTTATTACACACTAAAGTATTTTATATGCAGTTGTTAACTTATTTAATCCTCACAACAAGCCCATTTCTGTTGTTAGCCCCATTTTACAGTTGAGGAATGAAAGTTTAAGTAACTTGCTCAAGGTCAAACAACTAGAGCTAGACTTTGAATCCAGACCATCTGCATCTTAACTATACTGTATACTCTAAAGTTTACACGTTATGCTACATACTCTTATTCTGTACTCTGTTCACTGTACTCCATACTGTGTGCTCTGCGTTCTGTAGTCTGTACTCTGTACTCCATGCTCTGTGCTCTGTGCTGCCACATTTCTTTCACTGCCTCCCCATCCAGATTTGAGCTTTGGATAATCAAAATCAGCTTTATCAGAGGAAATGTATCTCAGAGTCTTTGTGTTCATGTTTATATGCATATAGATTATTAGCTATTTTTACTTTAAAATAAAACCACTTTCAGATATTACAGCCATATGTGCATGCCATCACTCTGATCTGTAGATCACTAGCTCTTTAGAGGCTAAAAGGGAAGTTAGCCTCTCTGGGCCTCTGGAAAATAGAGAAGTTGGAGTCAGTTATCTGTAGTATTTCTTCTAGCTCTAAATTTTTATCTACAAATGTGAATATATAATTATTCATTTAAAGGTTTCCTTTATTTGAATCTGACAGTTAATGTCAACGCAAGTGTTGTATAGGCATAGGTGTTACTGTGTCTAGCCTCTGTGTTGTATTTGCATGACATAGAAATGCCGTATCACCTCGGGTGTGATTCCAAGTGCAGGTACTTGGAACAGTGTGTTTGGTTCACTGACTACCTTTCTGTGCTCAAGAAAAGGTAAGCTTTCACCTTTGTTTTACCAGAGGTAGCTACCCCTGAATCTCCAAAGAATGTCCTGGAATCATCGATGGTGAATGGAGGTTTAACGTCACAATCAAAAGAAAATGGGGCAGGTGCCGTACAGCAGGTGCCTGTGCAGCGGAAGAAACTCCTCAAAGCCCCAACTCTGGCCGAGCTGGACAGCTCTGACTCGGAGGTGAGGCCCCACGGCCCCCCATGTCCCGATTCGGGGTCAGGAGGCGAGCGCCCTCCGACCGGTCCTCGTGTTGCTCCAGCTGTTACTTAATCTCTTCCCATTTTTCAGTCAATTAAAGTTAGGTTTAAAATTCATTCATTTAGCAGGAAATGAAACAGTGGATTACTTACTGTTATTTAATAAAGGCCAATATAGTGGCTGTAGTTTATAGAATAACTTGTGACATACATACATAGTCTTAGATTACAGTGGGGTTAAAATAAGTCAATAATTTTCAAACCTATATTTTCTTAAATATGTTTCCCTTTGTTTTGGGGAAGGAAAAAGAAAAACATCTTCATAGATTCTTCCCTCTCTAGAACACACACACACACACACACACACACACACACCCCCACCCATACTGAATCTTCTTCTTTATGTAATAGTAACACCAAAAGACAAGTCCCCCAACACTGTGCCCATGCCCTGCGGATCCTTCCTGTTCCTGACGTGGGTGCTCCCAGATCTCTGCAAGCCTCTGTCCGCAGTGTCACTATTGTATGTCTCCACTACCCGACCCTCAAAGTCAGCTTATATAAAATGAAATGATTTCCCCGCCCCCTGCCAAACCACGCCACACACCGTAGGCTTCTAGTCTCCTGTCTGCTGTCTCGGTTGCTGGCTCCATTCTCTCCTCATTCATCCAGGTTAGAACTTGAGGGGTTATTCTCTCATAACGCCCTCACCGGTCTCCACACCTTATCCAGCAATATCAGTAATAACAATTTTGCCACTAAATGTTTTTCAAACTTCAAGAATAGTAAAGAAGTATTCTTATTACTGCCCAATTCAGTGCATGCACTCTCTCATCAGTCATATCTTATCTTCCTTCTTCCTAGCTTCCCTGATTCCATCTTGCAAATACCACTAGGGTCTTTGTCTTTGAAACCTTTTGAAGGCTTCCTGCCACTTACAGGACTAAGCTCCTGTCCCTGAAGAAGCTGCGTCAGAGCCTGCGCCATCTGGTGCCTGCAACATCACTCTGCTTCAGTTTACCCTTCAGCCCCACTGGGTCCCTTGCTCTTTCCTGCTCACTCCCTGTTGCTCCACTCTGTGCATCTGCGTGCAGCCTACACCCAGCTCCTCTCCGATTCCATAATAACCCTCTGATCCGTCTGTTGTGTTAGAGCACTTGACCCTTTGTAATATAATTATCCATTTTTTTCTCTCTCTCACCAAGTGCAAGCTCCCAGGAGGGAAGGTGCGGAATTCACCTTATATTCCCAGGTCCTGATCCCCAGCAGACACTCACATATTTAAAGAAATTCATGCTAACCTGTGAGAACAACAGTTTAAATTAAAAGAAGATCTAGTGGTTAGCCACTAGAACTGTGATAATTGAAATGCAAATTATATTAAATAAATTTAAAACTCAGTTCATTGAGATCTCACGTGTGGCTGGAGGTGACCAAGCTGGACGGTGCTGACACCAGTGCTGCCCTTGCAGAGTCTGCTGGGAGCACCTGTGTCCGGTGCAGCAAGCGCGCCATCCCGTGTCCAGGACCCCCTTCCTGTCCTTTCTTCGTCCTTCACTGCCCTGAGCTAGAATGCCCAGGCCATGAGGAGGGCAGTGGGCGGCCTCTGCAGTTGTCTTAGTTTTCCTCTTTGTGAAAATATTGTGCTGATGCCCTAAATCCAAATCTTGAGATGATTTGCTAGACACAATTCTCTTAATCAGAGCGAGGCTGTGTTTGCGTGCCTGCCCATTAGTTAGAAAGGGAGTGTGAAATACGGTGCTGAGAAGTGTTGAGCCTGGTCTTTGGCTGCTGGTCCAGGCCTGGGCAGTCATGGCTCCCATGATTGGGAGTAAGGTGGGGATCTCTGATTTCTGGAACAGAGGGAATGGTCCTGGGCCAGCACTGGAGCAAGCACACCCCTCTGTCCTCTTCCCTTACAGCTGATGCTCTAAAGTACTAAGGAGGGGCAGGGCAAAGATGCTGAATGTGAGAATGCCTTACATTCCTTTTTTTTTTAAACTTCTGAATATAGTTTTTTTTTTTTTTTTTTTTTTTTGCGGTACGCGAACCTCTCACTGCTGTGGCCTCTCCTGTTGCAGAGCACAGGCTCCGGATGCGCAGGCTCAGCGGCCATGGCTCACGGGCCCAGCTGCTCTGTGGCATGTGGGATCTTCCCAGACCGGGGCACGAACCCGCGTCCCCTGCATCGGCAGGCAGACTCTCAACCACTGCGCCACCAGGGAAGCCCTGAATATAGAATTTTAAAACTTCTAAATATGTTCAAACTTTAAAATTTAGAAAACACAGATGAGCAGAAGACTTTAATTTTAAACAGCTATATTTCAAACTTGGGCTGTGTGATAATCAAAGTTTCAGTAGAGGTTTTTTGTTTTGTTTTGTTTTTTGGTGCCCTCTCTGAGGCTCCGTAGGGTTTCTTTTGATGAAACTCAGCTTTAATTTAATTGTGGTAGATTAGTTGTGTTCATCCTAAAAAGCTTTCTTAACGTTAGCCTCTTTAAGATTATCTACCGACTGGTTGAAGCCAACTCAGAAAAATGTCTCTTGTAAAAGCCTGACAATTATCCGATGTTTCTATAGACATGAATGAAGCACCTTGAAACTCAAGCCGGGTTTCCTTACAGTGTGAGTTAGTGAGGAACGTGCCGTGGGCTCTGGCTCTGCTTTGTGGACAGGACACGAAGACAGGTCCCTTTGTGTCAGCCTCCACCGTGTCCTCCATCTGAGGTCTCCCGCAGCTCCAGAATGTGGCAGTCCTGCCCATAAATATGAAAGCGGAAAAGAGGCTGAGGAGTCCTGCCTTCTCTAAATTGATGGATGGGTGTTCTTTTCCCCACCTTAATGGATTCCTGATGTCAGGGAATTCCTAAACCAAGATTGATTTATCTCTGGTCCTATTTGCTCACTTATAAAAAAGGCCACAGATACTAAGACAGATATATCCCACATCACATTGCACAGTGTCTTCATTCACATTTTATAATAATGTTTTTTCACACTTTTTTCTTTAACTCTTCTCCTATTTTTCCTTTTCGCCAACTTCTTTTTTTTCCAATGCCTCTCCATTTTTTCCATTCAAATATTTACCAAATACCTTCAGTAAGCAGTAAAGGGACAGCAGTGCGATAGGCTTTGTCCCCTTGCTCATAATCCAAATGGGAAATAAGAAGCATACACTGAGTCATTACACGTGTTTGGTGAGTGCTTGCGGCCTGCCAGGCACCTTTTGAGCCACCCGTGTGTGATGCCACCAGGGGGCCGGGGGCTGGAGAAGCCTCAGGGAGAGGGAGGACCTGGGCTGAGGAGTCAGGCAAGGAGAGCAGTGGGCAGAGGGCTTCCGCTGTTTGTGGCATGTGCCAGGCCAGGTCACAGCCGGTCTCCTGTTTCTCCCCTACTGGCCTGGACTTCCCCTGGGGGCGGAGGAGCAGACTGACCCTGCCTCTCTCACTTGTCTAAAGCATTCCTGGTGGAGGTTGCACAGGAACAAAGACTAATACTCAGGCCTGTAGTGGGAGGACAGTGGAGGCCAAATAAAGAAGAAGCTCAGAAAAGGCTGGTCTTACTCTTTTCTTCCATCCCCTCAATTTTATTACCACTTCCCCATTTTTCCTCCTTCCCTCCCATGTACTGAGTGGCTTCCAAAATTTTTTTTTAAGGACCAAAACTTTTCCTTCACATCAAAGCTGTAGAAGTACAAGGCGGGTCAGCTAGAAATGGAGGCGGGGCTAGGCCCTGCTCTCCACTTCCTACCCCGCCACCTCCCCATCTTCATGCCTTTTCCATTCTCAGAGGAAGTGTCCCCTAGGAAGTCCCAGCACGCCTGACACTGAGCTCGTCCCTCTGCGGACGGGGCACCGTACTCACTCCTGGAGGAAGTGCTTCTGTGCACGATCACACGTCTCCTGCTGGCCTTGCAGTCTCTCCACCGGAGGTTTTCCCCTCAGGTTTAAGAAATACCTTCCAGGGGAATTCTCTGGTGGTCCGGTGGTTAGGACTGCAGGCTCTCACTGCTGAGGGCCTGGGTTCAATCCCTGGTTGGGGAACTAAGATCCTACAAGCCATGCAGCACGGCCAAAAACAAAAATAAAAACAGACCAAAAAAACCCTTCCAGCCACCAGAATACCGACTGTATGGTGAACTCATTCGTACATGATCTCATTTAATTTTCTCTTCCACAGAGACTTCATACTAAGAGGTAACTGCCACCATTCCAGGGTAGCAGCTCTGCTCACCTCTGCAGACATATTTCATTTGACTCCATTGTGCACCAGAAAGTTCCTGTTGCCCCTTGCTGTCTTTGAGGTTAACTTAAAGTTGGGCCCAAATTATCACAAAGAGCAGGTTCCTGTCTAAATATTCCCCATTGAGTAGTGAATTTCCCTGTAAAGAGTCAATATATTATTATAAGTCAGATATTCTTATGAAATGGATATTAATGGATTATTTACTTTATCAACATAAACTCAGCTGCTTTATGTAGAAAGAAAAACTCCTTAATCCTGTTCAGAGCCATGAGATGATGACTTGCCCTCAGTCTTCTTAATGCCGTGCGTCCTTTGTTCCTTCAAGGAAATGCATTTTCTTCCTTTCTGTAAAGTGAGACCTCCAGTTGCAGAACCAGTAAAGGGATTTTTTTTTTCTCTTAGATTTACCCAGCAGCTTTGTGCATTTAAATTATAATAGTTAAATAATCAGCATTAACTACAAGCTTGAATTGATGTCCTTAAAAGTTTCTAGTTGTGAAACCGGGCTATTGGTAGTGACCCAGAGACTTTATACCCTGCTTGAGTTCGTAGGAATAGGTTATCTAATCTGCCATTTTGCCAGAACTGGAACTAACCCATGCTTTTTACTTAACAAAATATTATGAACATTTTCCCATCTGATTAACCCTTTTTCAACATGATGCCAAATATCTGTGTGGTATTCTGTCATAATAATTTGCCATATTATATTTAACCAGTCCCCTGTTTTTGAACATTTAAGCTGTTACCAGTTTTCTGTTATTATAAATAACAATAATATTGTGAACATCCTTATGATACATTTTTGCTTTGAATTATTTTTCAGGATATTTCTAGAAGAATGTTTGCTAGGTGAAAGAATGTACATATTTATAGCTTTTGATACATATTGCCAAGTTCCTTAAAGAAAGCTCTAATATCTACTTTTTATTGAGCCAACTCTATGTTATACTTTAGGTATTATAAATTGATCAGACCCTAGAAGTAGCTACGATCCTTATATAAAAGATAAGGAAACAAGACACACAGAAAGGTGTTGTCTTTGAACTAAGATTGTTAAAGAGTAAATTATAGAGACGGATTTGAAACCCAAGTCTAACTCCAAAATCTGCGTATCTCATAAACTTTGTAGTATTCCAACTAGCAGTATATGAGAATGCTTGAATTTAAAATAACTTAAACTGGAAAGGGGCTTAGAAATCTTGTTCAACGTCATTACTTTTCAGTGAGAAAACTGAGCCTCTAGTAGAGATAGAGACCAACTTTAGAAAGACGACTTTTCAGTAGCAGAATCCCTGCTAAACCAGACCTCCCAACACCAGATCTTTTTCCATCACTTTTTTTTTCTCTTCCTAAAACTCTAAACCTCAATGTTTCTTGCTTATCTTTAATAACCTCTGCTAGCCTGTCCCAGGTAACGTTTTAAAAGTCAAGATAAGCTTTGATTGGAGCTATATCAAAGCATTCAGTAGGAAAACTAAGCAAAGGAGCTGTATCTATGCCTTCACTGGGATTCTTTTCAGGAAGAAGGAGACTTACCTTCCTGTTAAGTGAGTTAGGTGCCAGGCTGGCATCTGAGACGATTCTGGCAGCCTTCAGTGACAGCGCCACCCTGGGAGCAAAGCTGCGGGACTTCCGACAGTGACCTCATTGCATCCAGGACCTGATTAAGAGTCACTGGTCAGGACATAGAACTAAAAAAGGCCTAACTTAGTGTCAAGAACTAGAAAAGGCCTAACTTAGTGTCAGAGACTAGTAACTTGGATCAGACAATATGCAGACAATAAGCAAATTTCAGAAACCAGACCAGGCTGTAGAAAAGACTAATGTTAAGAGATGTCAGAGACCCATTGAAACACCTCAGCCAGGCAGAAAGTGTTTAGTCAACGGGAGTGGACATGACAGGGACACCACACGCTCCCCGGTTCCTTTCTGGGTGTCTCCGTGACTCCTCTGGGGCAGGAACTAATCCTGGTGAAGATTAGTTTTCTTTCTTTCTTCCTTTCTCTCTTTCTTTCTATGAAGTAAATACTTTATATATATAGTTGATGTATAATTTTATACGTTACAGGTGTAAAATACAGTAATTGACAATTTTTAAAGGTTATCCTCCATTTATACTCATTAAAAAATATTGGCTATATTCCCCGTGTTGTACAATATATACTTGTAGCTTATTTTATTTTTAAATTTTATTTATTTATTTGGCTGCATTGGGTCTTCATTGCTGCGTGCGGGCTTTCTCTAGTTGGCGGCGAGCAGGGGCTACTACTCTTTATTGCGTTGCGCAGGCGTCTCATTGTGGTGGCTTCTTGTTGCGGAGCACAGGCTCTAGGTGTGCAGGCTTCAGTAGTTGTGGCATGCGGGCTCAGTAGTTGTGGCACACGGGCTTCGTTGCTCCATGGCATGTGGGATCTTCCTGGACCAGGGCTTGAACCCGAGTCCCCTGCATTGGCAAGCGGATTCTTAACCACTGCGCCAACAGGGAAGCCCTTGTAGCTTATTTTATACATAGTAGTCTGTACCTCTTAATCCCCTACCCCTCTATTGCCCCTCCCCCACTGCCTCTCACCACTGGTAATCACTAGTTTGTTCTCTATATCTGTGAGTTTGCTTCTTTTTTGTTATATTCACTAGTTTGTCATATTTTTTAGATCCCACATATAATTGAGATTATACAGTATTTGCCTTTCTCTGACTTATTTCACTCAGCATAGTACCCTCCAAATCCATCCATGTTGCTGCAAATGGCATAATTTTATTCTTTTCCATGGCTGAGTAATATCCCATTGTATGTATATGTGTGTTTGTGTGCGTGTGTGTGTATGTGTATATATATATATACACACACCACATCTTCTTTAGCCACTCATCTATTGGTGGACAGTTAGGTTGCTTCCATATCTTGGCTACTGTAAATAATACTGCTGTGAACATTGGGGTCCATGTATCTTTCTGAATTAGTGTTTTTGTTTTTTTCAGATACATACCCAGGAGTGGAATTTCTGGGTTATATGGTAGTTTTATTTTTAGTTTATTGAGAAATCACCATACTGTTTTTCACAGTGGCTAGACCAATTTACATTCTTGTCAGTAGTGTATCAGGGTTCCCTTTTCTCCACATCCTCTCCAGTATTTGTTATTTGTGGGGTTTTTTTTTGTTTTTTGATGATAGTGATTCTGACATCAAAATGACAGGTGTGAGGTGATAGCTCATTGTGGTTTTGATTTGCATTTCCCTGATGATTAGCAGTGTTGAGCATCTTTTCATGTGCCTGTTGGCCACCTGCATTTCCTGTTTGGAAAAATGTTCAGTTCTTCTGCCCATTTAAAAATTTTTTTTTAATGTTTAATAGTATGAACTGTTTATATATGTTGGATATTAACCCCTTATCAGTCATACCATTTGCAAATATTTTCTCCCCTTTAGTAGGTTGTCTTTTCATTTTGTCAGTGGTTTCCTTTGATGTGCAAAAGGAAGTTTAAGTTTAATTAGGTCCCATTTGTTTAGTTTTGCTTTTATTTCCTGTTTTAAGAGACGGATCCAAAAAAATATTGCTATGATTTATGTCAAAGACTGTTCTGCCTATGTTTTCCTCTGCATTTAGGTCTTTAATCCAGATTGAGTTTATTTTTTTAATGGTAGGATTAGTTTTCAAGTAGTCTGAAAGTGGGTGCAGCTGCCTGAGGTGGGCGTGCTAGGGCCAGAGGACCAACCACAGTTTCTGGGAGGCCCTGAGCCACACCCCGTCCCTGCAATGGCCCTGCCTGCCCAGGACAGGCTCTTGGCTGTTCTCAGTGCGGGGATTTCAGACCAGTAAGTAGTGGGGTGCGAGGCATGGACATGTCTCAGACTTATGTGAAATTAGGCTGTAAAAATGATTCTAGGGAAGGTTGGCTGAAATATGTGCATTGGGGATGGTTTCTGCTGTTTGTTTCTAGCTCCCACCTCATAACTACTGGAAAGTCCTGGTATGACTCCGTTTTTCTTTTCCTATGAGATACTCTTAGCTTTTATTTCCTTTTTGACCTTCCATAAGCAGAAGGGGATTATGCTAGTTCTTGCTGGCTTTTCTAGAGACTTGTGTGACCTTCAGCGTGTCTGGAGTGAGTCTTTACTTACGTTGCCTGACTTGTTCTTGGTGGTGAGTATCAAGAATGCGGAGGTTGCTGCTCAGACTGGCTTTGTTTGGACTGTGCGGTTTACAAGGCTTTCTTCTTCTCTTGTTCCTTGGCCAGATCCTTCATAGTGAGGTGTGTTCAAAACTAATGCTTTCAGCAGTAGGTTTTAGGTAAAGCCAGTTTTTAGTGAATGGCTAATGCTTAGAGTCACCTTAACTAAGTAGGTCAGAGAGAATTTTCACTATTTGTTTCACATAGTCATAGATTAATATATTAACCTAACTTTCTTGTATATTTAAAAATATTTATCAGTTTTCTATACATATTATGGAAATAAGTTGTCTTCTAGTTAATGTATATCCCCTGTCACATAGTAAATAGTAAATTTTTCATGAATAAATATTATACTTTATTTTGGTATAGTGTAAAACAAACAAATTAAGAAGGTCTCTTCTCACTGGTAATAGGAATTTAAACTTTATTTGGCACAATGCAGACATTTTTCTAGATTCATATGACATTTCATGAAATATTTGTTTTCAGTCATTCAACAAATATTTATTCATTACTTAGTAAGTGATGGATTTGGTACTAGGTAACAACGATGAACAAGATACACCACATCTACCCTTGTGGGGTTCCAAGTCTATTACTTTTATAAGTGTGTTAAATACTCCACTAATGATAATATTAATCACCATTTCTTGTGTGCTAGGTAATGTGGTAAGCATTTTAAATGTGTTCTCAGATCTGTCCTTGTAGTGACCTATGGAAATTATGAAACTACGATAAGAAACTTGGTCAGTGTCACATCATTCTAATGAGGGACAAAGCCAGGGCACAACCTGGACATGTCTAATTTTAGATCCCTTCTAGCTTGTCTCCAACTTGTCTTGAACCTTTGACATTAAAATTTTGTGCCTCATGTTAAATATTTATGAGTGAACATTATTAATTAGCATGAGATCTCTCTCTCTCTCTCGTCTGCCTGTGCCTTTCTTAGGAAGAAACTCTGCCCAGGTCAGCCAGCAGCAGTGCACCTTCCTCATTCCTTGAAGCTCCCTTTCTGGAGGCTGTGTCCACAAGGAAGAGTGAGTATTTGTAGTACAAAGAACTAGTGTCAGATGCCTTAAAAAACATACTTGACCTAAAGAAGGGAATCCCAAAGTGCCTTGTTGTCATTTGGGGTAACTAGTTAATTAAAGAACTAACCCTGGAATTTCACTAGTTAAGAAGAGAAATATTGTTATTTTCCTAGAATGACATCATAACATAGGGCAAAACGGGCAGTTGGGTCTCACATTCTCACCTTATAACAAATCAGTCACCTTTGGGCTTACAGATAATAGTTGTAGGGAATAGGTCAACTGTATGTATTTTTTAGATTAATTACCTCCTTATCTAAATTTAAACCAGAAGCTCTGAATAATCACACTTGTTATCATCCCCCCTACACACACACACACACACACACACACACACACACACACACATCCTTACCCACGTACATTTGTAGATAGTAAAAACACCTTTATAACTCTTCAGGCAATACAGAATCTAAAGTGATTTTTAAAAATACTATTGGTAATCTTTTCATTTATAAGATCAATATAAAGGATTAAAACTTATATATTAAAGGGGAGGATTCTGGGAAGATGGCAGAGTAGGAGGCACCAGAATTTGTCTTTCCACCTAGACAATAATTGCAGTGGTAGAATCTGTCTGATGTAATTATTTTTGGAACTCTGGAGTCTGTTGAATGCCTAAAACTTCCAGGGTTAACTTCAGTAGATTTCAGCTCATAGCACAGTGGCAACTACTCATCCCCCACCCCCAGCCCCATGACAGGCAGCTATGTGCTGTTCTTAGAGCAGCTTGCAGGAGCCAGGGTGGACAAGAAGGACCCTGTCCTCCAAATATTGGGGATCTGTTCTCTGATTGCTGATTACTGCTTCTGATTTCAAAAGTGCAAAGAGGCAGGCAGCCATTGTTGCCCTGTTGCTAGCTTCACCCCCTCCCCTCTAGCTGAAGTCATCTCCAGGGGATTTAAAGGGCTGGTGCCTTTCCCCCACCCCTTCATTTTTCATGTTTCCCCTTTTGAGAGTGAAAAGCCTAGAACATTCAAAAACAACGGCATATGCATATGGGAGGATTAGAAAGTGACTATGATTGCCCAGGGAATGGCTCATAAAAGACCTGACGAAATGTTAAGTTTAGAGATCTTCAGAGATCAGCCTTCAACAGTAAGAAAAACAATAAACAAAAACAATAACAAAACCCTGGGGAAGGGGAAAATCTGACTTCCAGAGTTACCACATTGATAAATTCAAATGTTCAGTGTTCAACAAAAAATCACAAGGCATATAAAGAAACAGGAAAATATGGCTCATTCAGAAGAACAAAATAACAGAAACAGGTCCCAGAAAAAGACCTGATGACAGATATACTAGACAAAGACATTAAAACAACAATTTTAAAGATGCTCAAAGAAATAAAAGACGATGTGAAGAAAGTTGAAAAAAACAATGTGTGAACAAAATGGAAATATCAATAGAGAGAAAACCTAGAAAGAAACAAAAAAGAAATTCTGGGGCTGAAAAGTACAATAACTGATATGAAAAATTCACTAGAGGCATTCAAAGACAGATTTGAGTAGGCAAAAGAAAGAATTAGCAAGTAGAAATTATCAAGACTGAAGATCAGAAAGAAAAAAGACTGAGAAAAGCAGAGACTAAGGGACCTGTGGAACACCATCAAATGGACCAACATACGTGTTGTGGGAGTCCCAGGAGCAAAAGAGAAAGAAAGGGGCAGAACATTTGCAGAAATAATGGGTAAAACTTCCTAAGTTTGATGAAATACATGAATATAAATATCCAAGAAGCTCAACTGAGGTGAAGTCAAGAGACCCACACCAGGACACATTACAGGTATCCCCTGCTTTTCAAAAGTTCACCTTATGTCCCTTCACTTTTACAAAAGACCTACATTGATACCTGTCTTCACTAACTGAAAGAAATCAGCAGAGGATTTTTGCTTTTACAAAAAAAAAAGCTGAAAAGCAAAACTAGTGTTCAGGGCTTTCCTGGTGGCACAGTGGTTAAGAATCCACCTGCCAATGCAGGGGACACAGCTTCAAGCCCTGGTCCAGGAAGATCCCACATGCTGCAGAGCAAATAAGCCCATGAGCCACAACTGCTGAGCCTGCGCTCTAGAACCCGCGGGCCACAACTACTGAAGCTCATGTGCCTAGAGCCCATGCTCCGCAACAAGAGAAGCCACTGCAGTGAGAAGCCTGCACACCATAACCAAGAGTAGCCCCTGCTCACCGCAACTAGAGAAAGCCTGCGTGCAGCAACGAAGACCCAATGCAGCCAAAAATTAAAATAAATAAAATAAATAAATTTAAATCTCCAGCCCAGTTTTCTAAAAAAAAAAAAAAAAAAGTGTTCAGCCTTTGCATCAGGCCACCATAACTTTGAACTGTGTCTGTGAGCATCTGTGCTTTACCTTGATTTATTTTGTGCATTCGTTAGCAAGATGTGTCCTAAGGTATTTGCTTCTTTGCTTTATACCATTTCAGTTTATGAAAGGATTCATAGGAATACTCTTTCAGATAGTGGGGGGAAACCCATATATTCAAAATTTCAAAAGACAATCTCGAAAGCAGCAAGAGAGAAGAGTGTCATCACACACAAGGGATCTCAGTAAGATTTTCAGCAGACTTCTCATCAGAAACTTTGGAGGCCAGTAGACCCTGGGCCACTATATTCTAAGTGCTAAAAGAAAAAAGTCCTTAACTGAGAATCCTATATCTGGCAAAACTGTCCTTCAAGAGTGAGGGAGAAATCAAGACATTCTCATATAAACAAAAGCTGAGGGAACTCAAGACCATTAGACCTTCCTTTCAAGAAATGCTCAACAGAGTCCTGTAGGGTGAAATGATAGGACACTAGATAGTAACTCAAAGTCATATGGAGAAATAAAGATTTCAATAAAGATAAATAGGCAATTATGAAAGCTAATGTTATTATAACAATGGTTTGTAATTGTACTTTTTGTTTTCTGCATGACTTAACAAACTAATACATTTAAAGAAAAAAAGAACTATTAGTACAGAAGCTAGTTTTACTGTAACTTTGGTTTGTAATTCCAAATCTTGTTTTCTATATAATTTGAGAGACTTAAGCATTTAAAAGAATTATTAGTCTGTTTTGAGGCAGACAATATATAAAGATGTAATTCTGTGACACCATGAACTAAAAGGGATGGGGACAGAGCTGTATAGGAGCAGAGGTTTTCTGTGTTACTGAAGTTAAGCAGGTATTAATCCAAATTATAGTGTTATAAAATTAGGATCTTAAATATAATCCCTATGGTAACCACAAAGAAAATAGCTATAGGATATAAACAAAAAGTAAATGAGAAAGGAATTTAAATATTTCACTATAAAAAATCAACTAGGGCTTCCCTGGTGGCGCAGTGGTTGAGAGTCCGCCTGCCGATGCAGGGGACACAGGTTCGTGCCCCGGTCCGGGAGGATCCCACATGCTGCGGAGCGGCTGGGCCCATGAGCCATGGCCACTGAGCCTGCGTGCCCGGAGCCTGTGCTCTGCAGCGGGAGAGGCCACAACAGTGAGAGGCCCGGGTACCGCAAAAAAAAAAAAAATCAACTAAACACAAAACAGGACAGGAATGCAGAAAATGAGGAACGAAATGCTATAAGGCATATAGAAAACAAATAGCACAATGACAGAAATAAGTCCCTTCTTACCAGTAATTACTTTCAATGTAAATGGATTAAACTCTCTAATCAAAAGACAGATATTTGCAGAATGGATAAATACATGACCCAACTACATGCTGTATACAAGAGACTCCTTGAGATGCAAAGACATAAACAGATGGAAAGTGAAAGGATAGAAAAAGATATTCCATGCAGAGAGTAACTAAAAGTGAGCTGGGGTGGCTACCAATTGATTAGAAATCAATAACAGAAGTAAAGCTCTGACAGCAGAAATGATTTCTGTTGTCCTCCTTATGTTTCCAAAATGTGAATCAGACCCTGAGACATTCTCCTTTTAAACCCTGTCCCCAAATACTCCTAGGCAGAGGAGCAGTGGCATATATAGTATTAACATTGAAGCTGGAATTTATTTTTTGAAATTTAAATAAAGCTTGATTTAAACCTAAGGATAAAATGTCTTGATACACATCAAGAAGAAAGAGTTTTCCTATTTTATTTTCAAAAAGAATGTAAAAGGAGGGTACACTTGAGAATTTTGGTATGATTTGACACACAGAATACATAATTTTTACATGCTTTTAAAATAAAGCCCAAGATCTACTTCTTGAATTTTTTGCTCTTAAAATTTTTTATTGAATACAAGTCTTTTGTCCAATTAAAAAAAATTTAAATAAAGCCTGAGACTCTTTAACTGCAAAATTCTGTGGAAAATACCATGATGGCATTTGTATTACAAATCTAAGAGACTATTTATATTGTGTTTTATGCATGAATTTGAATGAATGTTAAAAACTGTTTTTTCCTTTTCCTTGCTATTTATGTAGCAAGTTTATCTTGCAAAGATTCTTCTATAACAATCCTTCCAGTATCCCCCTACGGACCTCCCATCTTAATATACCTCTCCAACAAAATAAACACTTCATCTTTGAATGCAGTGTTTGTCACAAATGACAAAGGGTTTTCTGTTAGAAATTCAAAACTTAAGTTTTTTTTATAAGAGAGTTGATTTCAGTGTGGTTCATTCCGTTTCTTTAGACCCTCCGAAGTTCTTGCCCATATCCTCCACACCCCAGCCAGAACGACGGCAGCCACCCCAGAGACGACATTCCATTGAAAAGGAAACACCCACTAACGTGAGACAGTTCCTGCCAGCGTCCAGGCAGAGTTCCCGGTCTCTCGTAAGTAACCGACAGACTCTGCAGAGTTAACTTGCGAGCAGTTAGAGGGTCTGGAATCATTAGCTTCCTTGAGAAACTTCCACAAGCTAGACTGAACTTTAAATAACCTTACTGGTTTTTAGTAGCTAAAGAAAACCAAACCTAAGAGTAACCCAAATGAAGTCTGACCATTCTTTGTTCATTTAAAGTACTTTTTTTTTCCCAGAAGACTTATTAATGGTTGAAAGTATGGATATTTATTAAAGAAATACTTTCTTCCTTTCAAAGGGCATTAATCCACTTAAAAATTGTTGAAACTAAACAGAAAACTTAGTGAAGTCTGACTACAATAGACTCTTTTATTGAGGCAGAAGTCCAAGGGGAGAATTTTGATCCATGAAAAACCATTGTTCATTGTTTTCAAGCATGTTTTGTGATATTGGAGCCAAAGCAGCTATTTGGACGGGTTGACAGTTTTTGCTGTTTTCCGGAGACTTCCAGGCTCATGTAGGGGCTACTCATTTCTCAGACAGGGGATGTGGCACATGAGGCCCTTCCAGGAAGAGCTAACAGGTCTGCCAGCCAGAGAAAGCCTGAGAAGACTCTTTCTGTCCCACTTGACTTCTAAAATACTTGCAGGCAAGATGCAGGGCTTCAGTCAATAATTCTACCAGCAGCCAACCTGATACCTAATTATTCTTCAGATTCTCATGAATAAAACACTGGACTACACTCAGTCCATACTTTTAGGCTGCGATGAATCATCAGGGGTTCAAATGAAGCAATGATAGAGGTCCCTCTGTCCAGGTGAAGGGAGATAGTATGGATCTTGTGAAGAAACGAAGTTTGAACCATGCTGATAGTGTTGAAATTTGATCAGTCTTCTCTATTCCCAAATAATGTGATTAAAGAACTAATGATTTCATGGCAACTCCTGTTAGGATTCCTCTAACTCCTAAATAATCACCACACACTGATATATGGTGAAGTACAGCCTCATCAGTGGTTTACCAACTGAAAAACAGAACTCTGACCCAACAGGTTCAAAATTTAAAATCCAAAGACTTTTGTCAATAAGTTATTTAGCAAAATACACAGTTATTGTCACAATTGGAAAATATTGTCACAACTGAAAAAGAGAGAACTCCTTTTTTTTTTTTTCCCACAAGTCCAACGATTAGGAGATTCTTTTCTTCACAGCTTTTCCTAGAAGTCAGTTTAGCATTCAGCTGTGTACCTGGCCTTGTGATCATATGACATCATTGTTGAGGTTAGGCTTAAATTTTAAAATTATCAGTGTAAAGAAACTGTCAGATCGGGCTTCCCTGGTGGTGCAGTGGTTGGGAGTCCGCCTGCCGATGCAGGGGACACGGGTTCGTGCACCGGTCCGGGAAGATCCCACATGCTGCGGAGCAGCTGGGCCCGTGAGCCATGGCCGCTGAGCCTGCGCGTCCGGAGCCTGTGCTCCGCAACGGGAGAGGCCACATCAGTGAGAGGCCCACGTAACGCAAAAAGATAAAAAAAATAAATAAAATTAAATAAAATAAAAAAGAAACTGTCAGATCAACTACAAGGATTTTTTGGCTAGTGATGGAAGCTTTACCAAGAAAGGCCCGTGAGGTATATTTCCTGGTGAAGGGGAACTCAGTGTGTGTGTGGTCTGGCTGTCAGTTTTTTATGGAGGAGAGGAAGATACAACCCACATGCCATGGCGGAGAAGGGGCTCAGTGAGCAGGCAGGGGAGACCTGTGGTCGGCACAGAACTCTGCCCCCGAAGTGCCTCTAGACACCAGCTGAGACAAAAGAACCTCCAGGTCAAAGTCCTGACTTTTCTTGCCAGTAGCTTATCTTGGGAAATCCATAAAATCACACTCCTTTAATGGTAGTGCCGTCTAGCTTGGTAAGTATTGTTTTTAAAAGTATGATAATTTAAAATTTTAGCTATGTTTTAGAAAACGTGGAATCGTTTTGTATTTATAAGCTCTCAACTAAAAATGGCAGAAATGTCTTTGTTGTTACTGATTTTCATTTTTATTGTATCTTCCTCCCTTTCCTTAGGATGTTGAAAGTGTAATTCTTTTCATCATTTGGTCAGATGATTGTGGATGACGCCTCTAAATGAAGGCGACTTGTTTTTAAGTACCGACCGGGGGAGGGGTGGCTGCGTGGTGTATGTTTCTGCATTCGCCTCTGGCCTGCATCCCACCGAGCCCCGTGCAGGAGACTCAGTGTTCACAGGACAGCCGAGTTCCAGAAAGCTTAAGTGTTGCCGTGTGAACTCTGAGGTTCTCTAGGCATGGTTGGGCTCCTGACTGATACATGTGGATGCAGACGATGGCATGGACTTGCATGTGGAATCTACCATTAACATCCTCCGTGGTGTTTTGTTTATTTTTGTTCCATGCTCTGTAATTGCTATTTGTAGGTCACTCATATTCAGCATTATTTTCTCCTTTTCTTTTTCCCCTGCCGTTTTCTTTTCCTTTATCTATTGTTCAGGTTCCTAGGATAACCAGAGTATGGCCAACGACACCTTTCCGACCGCTTTTTTCTACCCTTCAAACAGCTTCTCTGCTCGGCTCTCACCCTTTGGAGGCAGCCTTGTTGGGGGTAGCAGGGGCTATGTATTATCTGTGTGAGAGAGCTTTTACCAGCAGGTGGAAATCCGCAAAGGTTGGCCTCTTTCTGCTGGTTCTGGGAATTATTTTCCTCTCTGCCTCTTTGGCAGTGATCCCTCAGCTACCGCACTCTGCAAAATTAACAGCTTAGATGGACACTTTGCTTCTGTTGATTCCAATCTTTGGTAGATGCGTAGATCACACCATGATCTCAATTGACGGGACGACAGTGAAAGGACAACAAACTCAGAATGCAGCGGCATCAGCACAGAGGAGCTGTGGGCGGTGCTTCTGAGCCCCCTGATTGAACCACGTCCCCCCACCCCCCACCCCCCAATCAGGGCCTTCCCCCAGCCCAGGGCCGCCCCACCCTCAGAAGAGCCGTTGCCCATACACTCAGCTGCCTGGCCAGGGAGGCTCGGGCACTCTTTCTCTTCTCCAGCACCTTTAAAGCTGTGTTGTGATGGTCAGGATGTTATGTGGTTGTTATGAAAAATCACCGTGCTTCTCTGTAGAGAGAAATTTGAAGTTTTTTTTAATTGATGTGATTATTTAAAATATTTTAAATAATTCTCATTTTGTATTGTTTTTGAGATTTTCATACAGAATACATTTTTTAAAGGAAGTATAATAGTTTCCGAACTTAAGTGGGATAAAAAGCCTCGGACCATGTTGAGGTTTCCCCTGCCCCCAGTGTGACCCAAGCTGCTGACCTGCTGACCAGGTGTCGGCAGCCGCCCAGCCCGGCTCTCCACCGTCCTCTGTTTACCAGACCTGTCCTGGATAAGCGAACCAGCAGCTGGTTTCTTTTTCTTTATGACCCAGCTTGGTTTAGAAAAGAGACTGAATGTAAATGAGGTACAACAGATTCCTTTCTCTTTATTTGCCGTGAAATACAGGATAAATCTCTTCTTTTTTTCATTTTAGATCTGGCCCTGTGAGCACATGGTCAGATGCGGAGGTGGCATTTAATCCTGTCCCTCCTGCTGCTGTTTCTGAAGATCTGCTGACATTTTATTTTTATTTTCAACCCTCCCCAAACAGTCTGTCTACTAAGTCTACATGTGACTTTAGACAGAGAACACCTTGAAATTTAAAGGTGAACTTGAAAAAAGAAAAGAGTAATTAAACTTAATATTTGCTATTTTTATTTAAATCTGCCTTCCTTTGGTTTATTAAAAACAACCAATGGTTGTTTTGGATAATTGTCAAATATCTGCTACTTATTTATGAAGTTTTTGCTAACCAAGAACACTCTAAAATATGACCATTTCCAGTTCTCTGGCTCAGTAACCAGATTATACACCATGCTCTCTGATTTCTGTGCTCCCTAACTCTGACCCCTTTTGAATGGTAAATATAACCAGAATATTTAACAAAAACTCAGCCATTTTAGTGACATACGTAACAGTGAGTTCTAAAGGCACATCTGCTCCTACAGTATATTGTAATCTCTGTTAAAACTCTTTAAGATTTAGCTTCCCTTTCCTAAATTTGGAAGCCATACTGAAGCACAGAGCAGCCAGAGAATCAAAGTTGTGCTGCTCTGGTCCCTGGAGTCCATGCCATGAACTGAGGTCAGTGCCTGCTGCAGGTGTGACCCGGCCCATTGTAACAACGGGGACTAGGCTCGGCTCATGGGTAGAACCCTGAGTGCTCTTCACATTTTGAGGCATCAGCATCTCAGCAAGATCTGTTAAGGTTTAATTTGGCTTTGGGGATGTTGAATTAATATTTCTTGTCATTTGAAAAAAATAATGAAAGCTAGTAACTATTATTTTCTTTCATGTTGCATTAAAGTTTTGTTGTCCTTGGGAAAGCACCAGAATTAAAACATTAGCATTTGACCTGATGGAAGGTATTTTACTAAAGGGTAATCTGCTTGAAATTTTAAAAAAGAACAAGAACACAGAAAAATCCACTACTTCTTATTACATCTGATGGAACACTGGATTTGTGCATGGGTCAAAGCAGTAAGTCGGAAGTGTGCTTGACTGGCCCCTTTATGACTTGAGACTGAGGACTGGGAGCTGTGGGCTGTCTGGGTTGCTGTGTGTGGAGCATCCCCGCCACCCAGGCGTCGCAGCTGTGACGTTGGCACCAGCACCATCTTCCTAATACACGACAGCCAATCTCAGGGAGTGGTCTTCTGCTTGTTTGCTAGATTCATATGTTATTTTACTCCAGCTCAGCAATATTGTTACATAGGTAACTGTCAGAAAATGTACGATAGTCATGCTTGTTGCTGATGACTAAAGATGACCGTAGGGATACTTCTTATGAACTATGTCAGAAGCTGAGAAAAGTCGCTGTTCAGACATGTGCAGCTGACCCTACTATCTGTGCACAGTTGTGATGCCCAGCATTCGGAGGCGAGCCCGTTCCCACACTCTGTTCTCAGGGTCAAGCGAAGCTCAGGAAATATTGGACATGCCAACTTTTAAAGCTCTTCCCATTGAAAGAAAATTGGGTAATGGTGGGTTTTTTTGAGTATATCAGACATTCTAGAGCACATGAATTATCCTCCCACCCTCCAGATACTAAGCTCTTCATCTTAAACGTTCAATTGCAGGATTTTTTCCAAAACATTTTTAGCAAATTTCATCTTCCCTAAGTTAGCTTGAACAGAGATGATTTTGTATTGATTATTTGTAAGAAGCAGTAGTTCTGCAAACTTTTTTTTTTAGTAAATGCTAATGTTTTTCAAGTTTGCAACCTAGATTTTTGTTTTTCTCTGATTGAAAGACAGAACTAAATGTTAAAACTCCATAAACTGACTGCACTCATAGTCCTGTGCTGTCTCCTTTGGCTTGTTTGATTCCAGAATGCCTGTGAGCAGCACTATTGTGTGTGTGGGCGTGAGTTACAGTGTGTGTGCACCGAGGACATCGGGGTTGTGTCGCTCCGCCACAATAGCCCTTGTGAAGTCCAGCAGGGTGCGGGCGCACAAAACTGTTCTGTCTTTCTACTGGGCCCACCAATCAAGCGCAGGGCCAGCTGGGGAGCAGATGGTGTGAGGCTCTTTATTCAGTGGGATCAGTTACATCAACATCTTCCTCCACTGTTGTTAGGGAAACCATTAACATAAGACAGCCAACTTCGATATTTATCGTCAGAGTTCTCTGAGTGTCTCCACATCTGTCCGGTGTGGACTGTACTTCCGCAGTTGTTTAAAAGTGATGAGAGATCTGGAGAGTGTGGGGCAGCCTGACGGAAGTGCCTGCTGGCTTCCAGGTCCAGTTCCACTCACACTGTTAGGAGTTTTTAGGCTGTGCTGATGTAACTTACCACTAAATAACGCTTCTCAATATCGATTACTAACCACCTTCTTTTGGCTATTCTGGGTACCACAAATCAGTTTTTAAAACAGTACCAATGTTGTAGATTTGCTGTTTATTAGCAGATATATACAACACAAAAGTAAATAATATCTTTGTGTAATCATAGGAGAAAACTGACAGAAATTTGGTTTAGAACAATAACATTTTTTCCCCAAGATTTCAATGCATAGATATGTAACTCCACTTCAGGGGATAGAGATACCTGAGGCAAAACATCTAAACAAATGTGAGGAAATTTCAGTGGCTACAGTGTTTCACATGGTCCCGGAAGTTTTCTGCCATCTCTTGTCTCAGTGTAATTAGAAACTGTGTGGTCCCCAGAGTGAGCCAGCTCTGCTCCAGTGTTTACTGGGAAACCTCTTTTCTTCTCTGAAGCTACTAACCAGGTGACTGATCTGAAGGGGAACTTTGCCTTGCCAGAAGGGTGGTGGGAGCTTCTTATTCATGTGGAATTTTGAATTTCAGGAGGAATTCTGCTACCCAGTGGAATGCCTAGCACTTACTGTGGAGGAGGTGATGCATATTCGTCAGGTCCTGGTGAAGGCAGAGCTGGAAAAATACCAACAGTATAAAGATGTCTACACTGCTCTGAAAAAAGGAAAGGTAGAGCCACTTACAGTTGATGGATCAGCAGGGTTAGAAGATTGGTCGGTCACAGGCATGTCCCCTGAGGACACTGTCTGGTGGCCAGATGGCATAGGACTTTGGGGGGATTCTAGGAGGTAAGAGGCTTACCCCGTGGCAGGCAGTCCCTTTTCTGCCTTGCTCACAAAAGTATTTTTATTTCTCCCTGAGAAATTGAAAACCAGAAGGTTAAAGCCACCATTCATAAAACAAGGTCTGCCCTTTGTTGTTACACTTTTAAAGGACTGTAGAGAAAATGTATCTGAGAAACAGAGAAGACTTTTTCAGAACCTTCTTCAGGTTGCTTTCATGGTGGCAAGACCCTTGAGAACTGTGGTCTTTTACTACCATTTAAAGGTAGAATTATAATCAAATACAGAGCAGATTATAATTATCACAGAACCAAACTTAATAAAAGGGTCTCTAAATGCTCTTCTCCCTTTGTCTACTAAACTTTCCACATATAAATTGTGTGTCCAAACATGCAAATTAGGAAATTAACTATTGGCAATGCCTTTTTCTCCTTTAAAATTTTTATTTTTTAGCTCTGCTTTTGTTGCCGAACCAGGAGATTTTCCTTCTTCACTTGGTCTTATACCTGTCAGTTCTGTAAGAGGTAAGGCTTTTGTAATTGATGACAGCAGTCAAGGATCCACTGTTTCATCATTTTTCTCTGAGGAACAATATTAGAAATAATCCAGTCTGTTATCATGTGCTGTGCTTGTAAGCTAGTAATAGTGATTGCTTCAAGAGTGGACAATTATTTGATATTAAGCCTGGAAAGTTTCTCTGCATGTATTTCTTTTCATATCCAAGATAGGTCTAATAATAATATGTCATGTTGAACAGAAAAAAATAGATGTGACTGTCACGTGATCCCAGGATAGACAAGTAAGAAAATCCCAAACAGACGTAAGTTGATCCTTTCATAGGACACAGTTACTAAGAGTTAAGTTTTACGGTGTGATTGTCTTTTTGGCAATCCAGTTGTCTCAGTTTGTTACGTTCTGATAGAAGCAGAGAGTCCAGGGGACTTACTGTAGAAATTCACAGCCACGCAGCCTGCGGCTTCTCTAACTCTGCAGTTGCGTTCGTGGTTATCACGCTGAGTAACACTTCTGATTTTGTGTACAGGCCGGTGTGCTCACAGTGTTGCAAAAAGGTAAGCTAAGCTTAGTGAAATCACAACTTGTGCTAATTTTATTGACTCTGCCTCTTTAACAGTACTGCTCATTCTCAGTTTTATTTGGGATACTAGATGCGGCTGCCCTCCAAGCCATACTCCACCCTTCCTATCTTTTCATTGGGACCTTCTGCCTTGCAGAGAGGGGAAAGTTGTATGAGGCCAGAAAAACCCTCCACTGGCCACCATCGGCCACTTCGGAGCATTGCCAGGTGAGCAAGGGGCCGGGTCTCCAGAGCATCCTTTGTGAAAGGCGAGAGCTCTTTTGAGGACTGTGGTGATATGGTGGGGTTTTGGCTTGCAGGAGTTTGGGTGGGTGGGTGGCTTGGTTTTAATATAGTTTTGACTTGTACACAAATCTCCAAAACTTGCCAAAGGTCACATGACAAGGGATGATGGCTAGCTCCCTGAAAGATACTTAATCTCTCAGTTTAATTTTTTTTCTACTTTGGAAGTAATTACTTTTGTGTGTCCTTTAAAAGTCATCTTTAAAACTGACCTTGTTTTCAATGGAGTTGAAAACTTGAACATAACAGTCTAATCTTTCTTTCCTTCTTTAGTTTTGAAAAAAATCTTTTTAATCCTGTGTTTACAGTAGTCTGTGATAACTTTGGCTTACTTTCCTATTGTAAAGACAGAAATAAAGCTTTATGCCAAGAGCTGGCAATTTAAAAGAAAAAAGGTGCCCGAATAGCAATCCCTTTGCATTTAATGCAGAGTAAGGTTAGTGTTGGTCCTTAAGAAAGACAGGAGGTCAGACCACACGCTGGCAGGGCCCAGGGTGTTGGGGTTTTATGTACCAGCGGCCTCCTATTTGGGAGGGACACTGGTGTTGGTGCCAGATGCTGGACGGTGGCCATTCTGCATGTCAGGGTCTGTGGACAGTGAGGTGAGGGAGCTGAGAGCCCAGCAGTAACCTGTACCCGAGGTTCCTGCCCCTGTGTTCAGTCCCCATCCTGACCTCTGAGTATGGGCTGCTGTCCACGGGCTCAGGGCAGGCGAACTATGTTCTGTTCTTTCCTGCACTAGCTCTATGTTCCTGTTTGGTTTAATTAAAATAGTGAATGAGTAGATGGTTCCTAGTTATTTCCAAAAACTACCCACAACATTTATGATGATGTTGGTCTAGTTAACTCCAGCTCTCTGGAATCCAAATAGTCAGTCACCCAGATATAGAGAATTGTTGTGGAGCGGGAAGCACATTTGATAAATACGAAATGACAAGAAAGCTGGTCCAAAGATAACTTTTCAGGATTTGTCGTAGGATTAAGATAAATTTACTTCAGTTTCTTATAGTCTCACCTATCATCTACAGTTAACTAATGTTCATTAACCATGACACAGGGTCACTGGAGAAAGAACTTGAAGTTTTCTCTGAATCATCAGAGAGATTAGCAACATGTACTTCATTTCATTTCGGTTGTTAAAGTTCATGATCTATCTACGTATAGTAGTCAGGTGAATACTCTGAATATCCTATTTTCCAAAAATTCTAGAAGGGATACTAAGAGCTTTTAGTAGTAGTATTTTTTTTAATATAACGTTATTTATTTATTTTTAGTTTTGGCTGCGTTGGGTCTTCGTTGCTGCGTGTGGGCTTTCTCTAGTTGCAGCGAGTGGGGGCTACTCTTCGTTGCGGTGTGCGGGCTTCTCACTGCAGTGGGTTCTCTTGTTGCGGAGCACGGGCTCTAGGTGCACAGGCTTCAGTAGTTGTGACACATGGTCTTAGTAGTTGTGGCTCACAGGCTCTAGAGCACAGGCTCAGTAGTTGTGGTACACGGGCTTAGTTTCTCCGTGGCATGTGGGATCTTCCCTGACCAGGGCTCGAATCCGTGTCCCCTGCATTGGCAGGTGGATTCTTTACCACTGTGTCACCAGGGAAGGTCCCGTATTATTATTTCTTAGTAAAAGGTTTCCTGGTTTCTTTCTTTAAAAAATTTTTTTTTTTTTTTAATAATTTGACATGTCTTTTTAAAATTTTTGGCTGCGTTGGATCTTCATTGCTGCGTGTGGGCTTTCTCTAGTTGTGGTGAGCAGGAGCTACTCTTCATTGCGGTGTGCAGGCTTCTCATTGCGGTGTCTTCTCGTTGCGGAGCACAGGCTCTAGGCACGCAGGCTTCAGTAGTTGCAGCACACGGGTCAGTTGTCATGGCACATGGGCTTCAGTAGTTGTGGCGCATGGGCTTAGTTGCTCCGCGGCATGTGGGATCTTCCTGTACCAGGAATCGAACCCGTGTCCCCTGCATTGGCAGGTGGATTCTTAACCACTGCGCCACCAGGGAAGTCCCCAAAAATATTTGTAAAGTTGTTACCAATTATAACTTCTTCTTTGGACAACACTGACATGACTAAATCACCCACCCATTCCATCATGTTTTGCCAACAGATTTACTTTTTTTGCACATATTTTCTTAGTATTGCAGTAGAACTATAAGTAACAATAATGGATGTCGTAAATGTTTTGTTTTTTCCCAGATTGTCCTCAAAATCCAAGTCTGTGGACAAATCAGATGAAGAACTCCAATTTCCCAAAGAGTTGATGGAGGACTGGAGCACCATGGAGGTGTGTGTAGACTGCAAAAAGTTCATTTCAGAAATCATCAACTCAAGCCGGCATAGCCTGGTGCTGGCCAACAAAAGAGCCAGATTGAAAAGGAAAACGCAGTCTTTCTACGTGTCCTCGGCAGGCCCTTCGGAGTACTGCCCTTCGGAGAGGACCATCAGTGAGGTCTGAGCCCCGTGCATTTGTGTGCAGAGTCGCATTCGCGAGAGAACACTGAGCGGGGCTGTCTTCTCGCCGCAGTTAACTGGTTCGGGTTTGCATGGGATCAGGGTTTTGCTGCATCACACTGTTCCACAGACTGAACACTGTCTTCATATCAGCCAGTCCCTTGTCTGCACTGAGAGAGGACAGTAGTTTGAAACTTGCTTCTGTGTGTGTGGTGATTTGGAGGCCAGAAACTTTTTCCTTAGTTCAGTTCTTTACTGTCCCTCAAATAATTTTCTGACTGAGGCAGAAAGCTTCTGGTGTGAGAAATCCGTCTAACACAGGCGTCGAAGTCAGCACAGTCTAAGAAGTAAGTCATATTGGCATTTCCACCCGACAGTGTTCCTGCCTGATGCACACAGATCCCTGGAGGCTGGGCCAGGCTGTTACCATCTCACAGCACAGAACCTACAAGGATTTGCTCATGCTCTCAAACTGGTTTTAAATTATTGTTGCTCTGAGATAAAGACTCGGGAGGGACTTTACTCCACGCTCCAGTACAAAGCATCTGAATAAGCTGTACGCTCAAGTGGGCGCCCATGTCCCCCACGCTGTGTCTGTGCCCGGGGAAGTGGGGCAGTGTCTCTTGAGGCAGGTGCAGGGCTTTCCTTGTCTTGAATGTATTATGGTTACTAGTAGTTTTATATTGGAGGTCTAAGATTTAAAGTTTTGTGGCATTTGGGGACAAGGGCAGGCTAGAAGTTTGTCCAAAAGTTGAGTATTTTGGCCAATAGAAGAAGGGCTGTGAGTGCGTCAGCCACGCTGCAGGGAACGAGCTGGAGCGCTCACATTTCCAACCGCGGTTTTCATAACTTTAGTCTCGCCATCATGACTAAATTAAGCCACAATTTGGTATCTGAGGTCTCAAACTGAAATTTATTTTTATAAATGAATTTTAAAAGCAAAAACACGGTCTAGTTCATTTAAAATTAACCTGCTGATAGGCTTTGTGGATGCTTTTTGCACACGTTCTCCTTGTAAGTGACTTGAATAGGACGGGTTTTGATGAAGCCAGGTTGAGGCGGCACCATACACTGTCATTTCTCGACTTGTGTGGCCCATTCCGTGGCCATCTTTATGATTTTGGTTTGCTTGGCAGACCAGCCAGTCAAGTTGCCAGTCATGTTTGGAAGCTCGGTTAATGCACATGCACAGCAGTTTCCTGAACACTCTCTAGAACACACCTGTAGTCAGCACCGTGACAGCACCGCTCACCAAAAGGCAGGGCAGTCACACTTCACACCACCTCACAATACAGGAACATTTCTATAGCGAATTAACAGTAATACCTCAGAACTGCCCTGGTAGTGGTTTTACGTGACTGAAATTTATAAATTAGTAAATAGCTTAAAATTACTTACACTTACAAAATAAACTTTACCAATTGACTGAAGTAATGCATGTTAACAGTTTGTCTGTATTTGCATGTAAAAGTGGGCCACCAGAGAACCCTTACTGATTATGGAAACGTTTAAAGTTTTAAAGACTCTCACATAAGAGCTTTAAACATTATATTGAGTGAATCTCATTTATAAAATTTTGGTGTGGGCTTCCCTGGTGGCGCAGTGGTTGAGTCCGCCTGCTGATGCAGGGGACACGGGTTCATGCCCTGGTCCGGGAAGATCCCACATGCCACGGAGTGGCTGGGCCCGTGAGCCATGGCCGCTGAGCCTGCGCGTCCAGAGCCTGTGCTCCGCAGCGGGAGAGGCCATGGCAGTGAGAGGCCCGCGTACCGCCAAAAAAAAAAAAAAAATTTTTGGTGTGAGCAGCTTCTAAACAAACAACCACCAGGAAGGGTGCAAGGGAGATGGGGTGGTGTTTGTATCCATGCACAGACCAGACCTAGGAGAGTGTGCTTTTTAAAATAACGACTTGGGCTTCCCTGGTGGCACAGTGGTTGAGAGTCCGCCTGCCGATGTAGGGGACGCGGGTTCGTGCCCCGGTCCGGGAAGATCCCACATGCCGCGGAGCGGCTGGGCCCATGAGCCACGGCCGCGGAGCATGCGCGTCTGGAGCCTGTGCTCCGCAACGGGAGAGGCCACAACAGTGAGAGGCCCGTGTACCGCAAAAAAATAAAATAAAATAAAAATAACTAGTTTTTTACAGGTGTTATTAAAACACAAGAAACTAAACCCCCTAAATGAGAATCCCATCCACATTCACAAGGCACATAAAATCTAGCACATCTAGTCTTTGACTTCACTTCTCCAGGTTTGTGACACTGTGCAGGTTGTCTGGGCATTGTGGGCGCCTCTTAGCAGAGCGTCCACAGCACTGTCCACAGCACTAACAGGCTTTGCCAAGTGTATTGAAGACGTCAAGTGGGTGGTAGGTCTCCGTGGGACAGTTTGCAGAAAGTACAGTAGAAAAGGGCACATGGCACAGCTAATATTGTAGAAATCAAATCAGCATCACTATCTGGTGCCAAAACAAATTCTTGCACTTACCCCCTCCCTTATCCATGGCATGTATCCCCAGCACCTCAACCAAATCGGGTAACTTCCAGAGGGTCATTCACTGCCAGCCTGTGGGGCGTGGTTTCAGTCCTCAGCCTCGTTTGACCTGAGGCCTAGCTTCCTTCCTCCCTTCCTACTGGGATAACACACCTTCCCAGGCCTCCTCTTTGTCCTGGTTGTTGGCACTTACTTCTGGTCTGACAACAACAGCATCATTGGCTGGCTGGTCTCCTGGAGCCTGATGTATCCCAGCGGGGGGCTTCACTTTCACCCTCTCCCTCCAGGCTCACACCCTCCCTTGCATCCCCTGCCTCATGAGCTCACCCTTCTCACAGCTGAACTTTCTGTCAGTTTAGGATAGATAAGAAAGCTTGTAAATACTGTAATATAGTAATTAATATTTGAAAGGCGTTCATTCAGTGGACAATGAGAATTAACTCTCCCAAGGCAAGTAAAAGTTAAATCAAGTAATTGATTTGTACGTCGACTTAACAGTCTTACTAGATTTCAAGTCTTAGGCCTTTCAAATTAAACCAGAAAGTTGTTATGTAGGAGTTTTTTAAATGATCTGACATTTGATGAGATCCCATGAACTCATAAACTCATGTTATGTGATTAGCACCGTGAGCTCATACCATGAATTTTTTAAGGCTTTTATTTTTCTAACTGTATTAATGTTGGACTGATTTTAGGTGTCACATAGGAGACATGAAAGTTTTAAATTATGTTGCTGTTTGCTAAAGCAAAATAGCAGACAATTTTGTACATGCAAAACTGCTGAAGGGCCATGGGGAAATGTGTACACGTTGACCTGGCTTCCTGTGTGTAAAAGTCAAGGTACTGCTGGTATGCAGTGTGACATGACAGTACTAAACGTTTTCCATTAAAGTCTTTTAAAATTTATCGAGGGGAAAATAAATGACTTTACATCATACCTTCTTTGTGGAGTTCCTGTTGTAAAATGATGATGTCTTTTGGTAACTAGCTGTTGGAAACCACCTAGGTTGGGAAGACAAGATATATTTATATGACATCAGCAGTTTACGATCAGCTTGAGAAATACAATCTACAAGGACCACACTGGAAAAATAAATGAATATGAGCAGTCACCGTAACTCTGCTGTGTCACCGGGCAGCCTGCCTCCTTTTTCAGCTCAGCAGGGTAGGAAACTACAATCTATAAATAGTATATATAACAATTATTATATAAGAAGTCACATCTATGGAGACAAATTATGTATAGAAAGATAAAGCTTTTATTTTTTTTCCTAAATCGAATTCCTCAAGGTATATATTCTTAAAATGTCCAATGAAGAAAATTTCTTGCTGTAGCTCTTAAAGGGTCAAGAAAAAATTAGGAAGATTAAACCCAGAATGAATTTAGGAAAGTTCTTTTGTCTTTATGTTAAGTAAATATAGAGCATCATTAGCCCTTTACGTACCAAATATTACATGATATTGAGTGTGACATTAATTCATTACTTATTTGCCAGATATATTTTAGGCTCTTCTTCTGCTAAAGTTTCTCTGTGACATGTGTGTAACAAGATGTCAGCTCATAATTCTAATGTTCACTGACTTTCTGAATCCGGGTCACAGCCCTTGCCTTGTGCCTCCTGAATTCCAGAGACACAGAGAGGTCGGGTACCAGGAAGGGAAGCTCTGGGTAACCCTTATTTAACTGCAACTTTCTTTTTCCTTCTTAGCTCCTGTTGAGAAGTTGTATAGTTGCAAATCATCAGAGTCTAGAATTTCATAAGGAGAACTCTTCTAGGTAAGGGCTTGATTGCACATATGATGTGTTTCAAGACTCCAGTTACACACACACATACACATACATTCATCAGAATGCGCCTTCTTCCTGCATGTCAGCCTAAGGCCCACGTCTAGAAACATCTCCCTTTGCTCATCCAAAAAAATTTAAGAGCTAAGAACCTACTTAATATAAAATTCTGCTTGTACTAATTAAATGTTCAGGTGCAGTTACCTGGCAGACTGAATTCACAATGCTGTTCTGGCTCGTTCCATTAAAATGTGTATGATGTATATATTTATCTATTTAGAATAGATTTTACTGTGTGGAACATTCTACAGCTCTGTTTCTGCTGTTGAATTGTGATGCTGGTGGCAAAATCTGAGCCACTTCCTTACCATCGAAGTAGTGGAAGTAAAAGGGCTTCAGAACTGACAGGACACAGTTCTCTAAAAGTGGGCTCTTGAAAACTGGGGCATTAAAGTTCACTTATGTCCCTGGGGCTTAAAAGCTGAGGGATCACCTGGATGTTCCACTCACCCAGGGGGCCAGACGCTGGCTCCTGTACTAGGAGTGAGTGCTCTCAGAGCAGCTCCAACGAACGTGACTGTCTATGAATTTAAGAAAAGGCAGAACTTCCTTCCCTCGGGAGTGGCTAGAAAAAAGGGGCAGCCTCACTAGAAGTTTGCCCTTCTGTATAATTCTTTGCTTTGATGTTCCCATGTAACTGCAGGAATCATCTGTTGGTCCCTGGCCTACCTCCCCCAGTAGTTCCTTTCCCTAGGGTAACACAGCAGAAAATGTCACACCCCAAACTTTTCCGGGAGCAACAGTGTTTGGGAGAGTGGAAATGCCAAAGAGAAATTGAGGATTCCTGGAGAGCTAACCTGAATATCAAATTCCTAAGCAAACATGGTGTAAAAGCTGCAGGAAATCACTTGGGAGAAAGAGAAGGAACAGCAAGATTCTGCACAGGTAAACCTCAGCAGTGTAGCTCCTGCAGCAGGGAGCCTAAGGTGTAAACAGAAAACAGAATAACTTCTCATTTAAAGGGAAAAAACTTTGATCTTAGACACCCCAAAGACAGAAGAAGCCTGAGATTTCAGCTGTCCACCAAGGAAGGGAAGATGACTTGAGTCATCCTACCACAATCTCAAGGTCATTTAAGGAGTCAGATCCACAGACTGTGAGCTTGGACTGAGCACTGTGGGTGTAATTGGCTGGACACCCCCACTTCTGCGTGGCTCCTGTGGTGGCCTAAGGCACTCCTCCTGGTGCAGCCGGTGGTGGGCACACCTCCTTCATGGTAGGAACTGGAGCTGACTCTGCTCCACAACGGTATTCACTTGCAAAAAGAGCTTTATGATAACTGGGAAAAAAACACAAACTAGTCTGTAATTAGTGAAGCAGAACCTTCCAGCAGTACCTGGTCTCAAGTATCTGAAATGGTTCTAACTAAACTGCTCCAGCATGGCAGCAAAACAGCTATCAGACATTGGGAAAGCACCTTAACATTTCTGGATTTCAGTTTCTTCAATTTTAAAGTGAGGGTGTTGGATGAGGTGGTCTCTGAGGTCACTTTTAACCAGGAGAGACACAACACACACGGGGTCAAAGAACCAGTACTGCACAAACACTGAACAGTGAGTAACCGAGAGCATGAGAAACTCAGAGAGATCTCTGTGCATCCACGCCAGCACTTTTACTGAAGCCAAGTGTTATTAAACAATATTTCTCTGTATTGATGACGAACCTGATTATATTACATGAATGCAAGAAACAGTATATGCTGCATTTATTTGAAACTTGGGGAGGCAAAGGCAAGTTCAGTTTTACTATTTGCTGTAAAGAACCTGAGTCCATCTCCCAAAATTAAAAAACAAAACAAAACAGAAAGATGAGTTGACATATTAACAACAGACAAAAAAACCCAAACACCTCTGCACCCGCCACTTTGTGTTGGCACCATCCGGTTACTGGTGGTTCATCTCCCAGCCCTGCACGATGGAAAGACGTGGTCTGTCTTGGCAGGTCTCTGTTCCTACAGTGTGACGTGTGCTCTTGTCGAGACGTAAAGGGAAGCAAGTAGCTGGAGGGATGACTACATGAAACAGACTTTTAATTGTGTTAAGTGGAAACAAAAGTACAGACAACTCTTGCTGTCCAGCTTGATCAAAGAAATAGTTACCACAGCTACAGGGGTCCCCAGTCTACACACCTCCCGTGTGTGGTAATGGGACCCCCAGCCAAGAAGCTTGTCTCTTTGGCCCTCGCAGTTCTCAGCCCTGATGAAACACTTCAAGGGCCAGGCAGATGCTTATGCTCTGCCAAGTTCCATCACTGAACAGGTCCAATAGCTGGGATGGAGCCCTTGTGTCATTCACGCAGTCGTTTACTCCCTGGTTCTGTCTCACAGCTCTACAGACCGGGCTTCCTCCCTGGCCAGGGGCTGCTTCCAATAGCTTCTCGACTGCCATGTCTCTGCAGTGCTTCCTGCCCTTCCTACTCCTCCTGCATCTTTTTTTTCTCCACTGCAGTCAGCATCTATTACATTGTTTCCATGAAGACACGGATATTTGTCAGATTTCTTTACCACCACATCCCTAGATTTGGAAAACTATCTGGCATGCAACAACAGGTGCTCAATAAATGTTTGTGGAGTCAATGAATGAGCAGGTTCAATATGGAAATGAGAAAAAGTCAGCAATACAAAGATGGAACCATCAACGTCTTCAAACCGCTGACACAGTGTGTAGTCTGTGCTCTTTAACACGTAAGGGCCACGTACAGCCCTGTGTTTTTCCTTTAAGGCAGGAGTACAATCCTAAGTCAACAAATCACTGCAGGCCTAACGTGGGCAACTAGAATAGGGAGGCTTGAGTCAGCAGCTCATGCATCTGTTGGTTACCTGCAGCTCGCAGAAACCCTACTTGCCAGTCTGGGTTTCCGACCCCACTCTTGTAAATGCCACTCATCACAGTTCCTCTCCAGGCACTCTTCCACTTCCAGAGCCCCTGGGTGGAGCCACCATGTACAGCCCAGCCTCCTGACCCAGCTTTTTTCCATTAACAAATTGATGGGCAGATGTTAAAGACCCATAATCGAAGCCACTACATAAATGCAAAGCATATGTTTATCAGCACTGAGCTCGTACTCATTACCTTTTTACTACTTGCCCCTTTCATAGTATGGTAGTAATCATAATACTTTGATTAAAATTTATGTGCCAACTGGGCTGAAATAAAATATATTAAATGATTTCAAATTTATCATATTAAAATAATTTGGCCAAGAAAAGAAAATAAGGGAAGATAAAAGGTAAGCTTTATGGGCTTCCGTGGTGGCGCAGTGGTTGAGAGTCCGCCTGCCGATGTAGGGGACACGGGTTCGTGCCCCGGTCCCGGAAGATCCCACATGCCGCGGAGCGGCTGGGCCCGTGAGCCGTGGTCGCTGAGGCTGGGCGTCCGGAGCCTGTGCTCCGCAATGGGAGAGGCCACAACGGTGAGAGGCCCGCGTACCACACACACACACACAAAAAGGTAAGCTTTATGAGATTAGATATTTTGTGCTGTTACTATTAATAACTTTTAAAATATTTTGCTGATTTTTAGTAGCTAATGATAGCTACCAATAATTGAGCACGTTACTGAACTACTGAACCAAATGTGATTTCACTCGCCTGACACAGCAAAGCTAATCTACTGACACTGGGTTGTGAAGGGAAGTGCAGCAGTTAGTGCAGGGCACCCAACATAGGGCCAGGCAAGGAGAATGGGCAGCTCATGATCAAAAGACCCGAACTCTCTGATGGCTTTCAGGTAAGCATTTTTAAAAGCAAGGTGAGGGAGAGGGTCAGGGTGCCTAATCAACTTGTGGACGTTTGTTTGATTGGTGGGTAGTGAGGTAACAGGGTGGTATTTCAGGAGTCAACATCATCAACCTTCTGGTTCCGACCACTCTGGGGGGTCTGTGTGCTGATGGTCAGCGTGTAGTTAACTTCTCCACCTGGTGGGGGATTTAGTATCTGCAAAACAACTCAGGATATGACTCAGGATATTTTCTATTGCCCTTGAGGAAGAACTAAAGGTCCTTGACTTTGTTTTATGGCTAAACTATTGTTTTGACTTGCTTAACTGTTTTCCTTTGTTTCTGCATTTTCTCACTTCTCTGATTAAATCTGT